AGAGAGGTGAAGATTTTGCAGTATGTACATGTAATTTATGCTATGCCTGGACGCCTTCCAAGACTTGTAATGTGGTTTACAAAGGTCGCCATCCAGTTCATTACTGCAGTAGCAGCGGGGCTTTGCCGTGGTCTATAAAGCATGTAATGTTCCTTTGGAGATCCCCTTTTGGGTTGCTATTCGGCTGTGAGCTGCAATACATTTGCTGTATTGCAGATGCTGTATGCAGGCCACCATGCCACTTTTTAAAATGTGTCGCTTACGGGACTGCAATAAACTGTTGTGTCATTTGTTGGCCTTTGCAGCCACTTGGTCCTAGGGCTTTTTTGGACACTTGGGTCAAGAGGCGTGGTTTCCAAGGGCGACATGCTAGATTTTTTTCTTTTTTCACCCTGCTTCATGTTGTCCAACTTACCATCATCTCCACAAAAATTAGTGGTCCTCTACACAGCTCTAACGCAGCTCTTCAGGGGATAATAACCATTGTTCTGGATGAGATAAAGGTTCCAAGGTTTCCACTCAAACCTGTTCACTGTTAAAAGGTTCTCAACACCTTTCTTCAGGTACAAATATTTGTTCTTGGAATCTGCAAGATCAGTCATTGTCCCTCTCTTTACTGGAAGCTTACTGGACTCTGTTGATGTAAAGGATACTTGGCTACATGTTTCTGTGTCCAGTCCATGTCCAGTGGACTGTCCACATCCTAACCCTAACTTTCTCATTGCCATTTTCTCAGTGAGGCAAGCTTCTGAGTTGTGACCTTAAAGTGGAAGTAAAGGGTTTTATCATGCTTTTCATTCAGTAAAGTGAATATCATGCATGGGAGTGATGTCATCGTGGCTCAGACGGTCGGAGTATGCAAACCGATGCGCATTTGATGCATACTAGCACATTATGCCATTGTCTTGCAGTTATTTTTCCTAAAAGCAGCGGTTTACTACTGCTTTAAAGTGGTTCTTAAGGTTAAGGTGGTGGCTTAAGGTTTTTTACTGTAATGCCTTCTCTGCATTAAGGTAAAAAAACCTTCTGTGAACAGGTTCCCCCAGTCCCCCCTAAATACTTATCTGAGCCCGATCTTGATCCAGCGCTGTGCCCAAGAGCAGCGATTCTCTCCACTCTGTCTCTTCACAGGACAGTGAGACGGCAGCTGCAGGGCAGAGCTGCACTGCTTTGTGTCTTTGGATGCTGGCAGCGTAGCTTGGGGTCAGGCCCTCACATGTGCCTTCCTAGGAGCCAGGAGCGCTAGCAGGGGACCCCAAAAAAAGAGGTTCAGGGCTCCTCTGTACAAAGCCATTGGACAGAATAGCTTAGTATGACATGTTTAAAATCACTTTAATTTGTAAGAACTTTTTTTCTTGTGCTACACAGAGACAAGCTTTTTTTAAGACCAAAGCTTCTTTTTCCCAAGGTAGTTTCTTCCTTTTACCATAACCAGGATGTTCTGCTGTTCCTCTGTCCTATTCCAAATCATCCTTTAAGGAGATTTCCCTTCATTGTCTGGATGTGGTACATGCTGTTTGAGGCTCTTATTTATAGCTGCCTTTAGACAGTCTGTTTGTCTTTCCTGAAGACATCTGTTTTTTTTTTCAGATCTTCAAGGCTGCCACATGGCCTTCAATTCATAAGTTTAAAGAATAAGTTAATCTTTAACAAAAAATATCAAATGCACATTTTTTTGCAGGTAAAAAAAATGTGCATTTACTATTTTTGTTTACGGAGCCTGGAAAGCTGGTGCTATGCAGGTCTCCTGCAGACTGTCAGTGTAATCTGCACGTACATCATAGAGGAAGGCAGTTTTACACTGACAGAAATAATCATCAACTTCCACAGCACTTAGCAGTGCCATGGTAGTTCATTGAGAACTACAAGCCGACAGCGGCAAAGGATGCCGCTACTTGTAGTTTCCCATTCACAGAACTCTGTAAATAAATAATGCGGCCAGCTGGGCAGAGCCATGTATGGCCACGTTTTTTTAAGTTGTCACTAGCTGTCACAACGGGGGATCCATGTTTTGAGGGCTGGTTCTACAGTAACATGTTACACCCTGAATATGGGTGTAACATTTTATGAAAAGGTGAACTTATCCTTCAAGTTTAACCAGGTGGAAGTTCACATCCTGGCTGTTGCCAGCTTCAGGCAGTTCTGTAGGCTCTGTTTGGCCCCCTGTGGGCCTGTTAGCCTTTCGTTTCTGTGTTGTTCACCCTTCAGTTAAGACTGCTTGTGGACATCCTAACGTACCTGAATCACTTCACCCTGTGTCTCTTACTGTACAATTAAGAATGATTTTTGACTTACCGCAGACTCCTTTTCTTGAAGTACATTAAGGGACTCTCTTTTCTATCCTTCCCTCTGTTCTTATGATCCACTTTTACTATTGCCTTGCTACAAAACCAAGCCATTCTGAGAGTGTGAGGGTTTATACTGGGCTATCATTATAGCTTTTGTTTGCCTGTGTCCAATCTTTTGAAGGTAGCAGCATTATCCAATGTACCTGACATACTTCATTTTGTGTCCCTTAATGTACTCCAAGAGAAGGTTTTTATAGTAAGGCCAAAGTCATATTTTTGCGGCTTTTAACTATAAATTTAGTTCTGCACCCATTTGTGGAAGGATGAGTCCTGTTGTGTACCTAAAAGATTCACATTTGGGCCCTTTGTGTTGACCTTTATTGCTGTGATCTCAGTATGCCTCTAGCTGTATTATGTGTGAGTAAACATAAATATTGTTACCATTGCTTGCCCTGGTACTATTGTGCTGCATGTCTCTGAAGCCCGGAGATAATAAGCATTTTTGTGTCCCAGTGACTGCTGACCATCCAGAGTATACCATGTACTGTTCAGGTATTTTTCTTATGCAGTCATGTAGTTTGAGTAAACTAACGTTGAAGGAAATCCGTATATTTTACTGGAAAATCTTGAATCAGGCATACACTCACTTTTTAGCCTAAAGGTATGTTAGCTGTTTTACCGTGTTTTAACAAACAATAAAAGGGTTGAAATGCTTATCTTTCCCAAGAAAAAAAATAAAAAACATGTCTTCAAGCTACCCCTGTACCAGTAATAAAATTATAATCTTAGGCATTAGGCTATGCGATCTCTGCTGAAAGGAAGATCAGCCAGTCTTAGCTCTGTTTCTTTCCTTTAAAGATTACACACCAAACACCTATAATAGTTCACTGCACTGGAGAGGACCCACATGCAGCACTTTCCCATGAGATGTACAACTTACCTGTGTGCTTACTGACACCTGCAAAACACGTAACACAGGTTCAGATTGTCTTTTGAGTATACATCCATTTTAAAGGGTCAGTTTACTGAAAACTGATATTTCTTCTTGAGTAGATAATAGTACAGTAGTTTGAAACCTCTAAATAAATTCCAGTTGCAAGATGAGTGTGTGAGACCCCTTATATTAGCAGCAGCAAATGGGCTGGCTTGGTGACTCAAGTGCAGATTTCTGCGTTTGAGCCCCTGAGATGTATAAAGACATGGTGGGTGCTTCCATTACTGACCTGACTGAACATTACTGAACATTTAGATAGCTTCAGCTTAGCATTTCTGTGATGTAGGTTGTTCTCGGGTACCCTACAGCATATTCCATAAACTTGTCTTTCTCACTGATGCATAGCATGTTGGTGTCTTACATCATTCCACCTGTCACAGCATGGTCTTGTTTTCAGTTTTGTCTGTTTGCCTTTTAATTCCTTCAAACATGACAACTTAATTTTGTTTTCTCTGCAACTCCTTCTTTTTTTCTTTTTTTTTTCTTTTCTACCTTCTCCCTCCCTTTTTTCATGGCCTATCAGCGTTCAGAACGCTTTCATCCAGCTGCAGTTTTGGCGACTTTACGTCTGCTTTCTCTCTGCAGGCCGCTTACCGTAAGTCTTTGTCCCTGTGGGGGACCTCTACCAGTGTTTGGTTTGGTTCTTGCTGTGCCTAGTTTATTCCTGTAGTGTGTAGATTTAGACTACTTGTGTTTGTGGTTTCAGTGACAGGTCTTCCTCAGCATATACTCTAGGTTTTTTTGATGCAAATCTAAAACAAACAGAAGCTCCACAATTTGGGAAAACAAGTCAGATTTTTTTTTTTTTCCCTTTTATACTTGCAACATTAGGTCAATCTAACTGATTTTCAGTTGGAAGAGAATATTCAATGCAGGTAATGGTTAACAGTTGTAGTGGTATCTTTACCCAGAAGAAGGACACAAAACAATACCTTTGTGTTCTTTAACCCTCTTATGACTTAGAATACACAGTATATTGGCTTCATGACCATAGAATTATAATTTTTTTTTTTTCTTCTACAAGTTGCAGTCTGTACAAAAGCATTGTAGCTATTCTCTATTTGTAATTCCACCATGGGCAATGGAGAAACATCTTTCCCCATTTAAAAGCACTTTTAGCAACATTGCTTTGCCAGTTGATCATGGTCAGAAGACAGTGTTTATCAGCTTAAAGCTGATATATTGGACTTTCAGCCTGCCACTGTGGACAAAGCTATTAACCTTGCCTGGACCTTGTGGAAATAGTCCACAAGTTACTAAATATTTATTGGGGTGCTTTTGGGTCTTTCAGAAAAACCCTGAATTCAGAAGTCCAGTTAGGGATTATTTAACTTTCACCGCTGTTCATCTGGCCACTGGCTGCCCTCTGGTGTTGGTTCCTCCTTGAGGGATAAGTATAATTCAATAGGAATGCAATGGGCACTAGATATTGCAGCAAGGAGAGAGGTTTAGTGAGCATCGGGGTGGAGAGAGCAGTTTGGCTTAACATACATTCACCCCTGAAATCAGGGGGCTCCCAGCATTACTCTTAATTAGAACCTACTTTTTCCTGCTGATCAAGATCTCAAAATGCTTACCTTTTTATAAGCATTTACATTTGAGGATTCATCACGTAATGTTTAGGACTGCCTGAATTTATTATAAACTGAAAACATAATGGAATCATCTGGCAGTGTATTTGATTTCTTTGCCTTTTTAATTGGATATTTTTTTTGTAGGTACCAATGCAAATGCAAACTTTGCTCAGTTTGATAACTTTCCCAAATCCTCCAGTGCTGACTTTGGAGCCTTTAATTCCACCGGAGCCAGCAAAACCACTGCAGTCAGTAAACCTAGCCAGCCTTCAGCGGATAAATACGCAGCTCTTGCTGACCTAGACAGTATCTTCAGCAACCAGCAAGGTAAGGCAAGGGAGAAGATAATGTGCAGGGATGCGTTTCCATGACGCATTTAATGAAAGATGGTAAAAAGAACGAGCCACTATTGGGACTTGTTCAAGAATTACTTGAAATATCTATATTTACTACTTTATTTGGCTTTTACTTTTCGTACCCCTGACTGAAGCTGAACAGCAAGATATATTCAAAGTCTGATCATTGCTGCGTGTCGGCTGTCTGGTCTCACAGGCCTGCCTCTGATTTGTGCAGTGAGGACAGGCAGTTGACAAAGCAAGTCTTGTGATATCTCACTGTTTTATTAAAGTTGAAGAGTCAGGCTAAGCAAAGCTGAATAAGTGTGTAAATAAAATTGTTTTTCATAAGTGAACATATTTATAACCAATTTATTTTTTTAAGTACAAGTATATGAATTTAGCATTTTCTGGCATGATCAGAGGCCCTATGAACTGTGCTGTACCAGCTTGGTAGGCAACCACACCAACTGACACCATGCATAGTTTGAAATGTGTTAAGAGTCAGTCCACTTGAAATGGAGGTGCTGAACAGGAAAATGTCCTTGTAGTTTCTTATGCCTCTCAGAGTTTTCATTGGTGAGATCTCTGCAGTTGCATTCCCAGGTCTGCTCATGTGCTGCATCCATTATAAAGGGATCTCACGCTTCCTTTTGAATAGCTTTAAACTTCTGTGTGTGTGTTTTTTTTTTTTTTTTTTTTTGCACAGTAAAACATCTGGTTGTGTGGCAGGTTCATTTTTCCTATTGAATGTAACATTGGGCATTCTATCGGGCAGGAAGCCAAGAGCCACAAGATCTGTGGCTGTTTTCCCTTTGCATCATTTCATATAGTTACATTTGAAGGATTGTGGGAAGTATTTTAATGTCAGTCTGAGATAAAAAATACATTAACTTGCACCTACAGTTCCCTCTACATTAGCTAATTCAGGTAGGTATTTTTACTGCAGGTTTTTAAAGTGGTTGTAAACCTCAGATATGATATATGGACAAAGCCTATCCCTCTGTAGTATGTACTTGTCTTAATTAAAGGATAGGTTTACCTTCATAACATGTTACACATGTATTCAGGGTGTAACATGTTATGAAAACATCAGCCCCCGCCAACCCCCCAATTTGACAGCTAGAGGGGGGTCTTCTTCACAACCCACATCCCCCCCCCCCACCTAGCTGTCAAATAAAAAAAAAAAAAAACTTAACAAATCACGATAGTGGAGTGCGGTGGTAGTCAGTTGAATCTTCCTATCAGTACAGGCAAGTACATCCCGTACAGGCAAGCAGATATACCAGCAGATCTGCAGGGGATCTGCATGGCACCAGTGATCTGATTTGCTGGTGCTATGCTTTACAGGCTCCTGCAACAAAAATAATAAATACTTGCATTTATTATTTTTTATCAAAAGGTGAACTTCTCCTTTAAGAGCAGTAAATGTAATTTCTGTCTGCTGCTTTGTTCTTCTATCCCTATGAGTCACTTCTGACACGTTTTCCTGACACAGAGAAAAATGGTGACAGGGAAAGGACCTCCAGCAGATCGACAGCCTGCGTGCGTGTGTGGGGAAAGGGGGGGGGGGGGGAGAGGAGTGTAACTTCAGCTCTCCACCTCTTTGTTTTCTGGACTCTTAGACAAGCTTTAAAATTCAACACTTTGAACAGATGTAGAGAAGGGAAGACTTCAGATAGACAGGTACAACTTGTATAAGAGGATTTGTTTCATATCTGTGTGTCATACGCCAGTCACTTCACTGGGTATATGTGAGGGTTTACAACCACTTTAAAGAACTTCTGCAATATAAATTACATTCTTAAATAGACATATATAGCAGGTTTCCTGTTGAATTTGTGATGAACTCTAAACCCTACAGACAAATAATATACTGTAAAATATATTTAATATATTTAAAGTGATATTAAAGGTAGAATTTTTTTTTTTTAAATAACAAACATGTTATACTTACCTGCTCTGTGCAATGGTTTTGCACAGAGCAGCCCAGAGCCTCCTCTTCTCGGGTCCCCTGCTGGCGCTCCTGCCTCTTCCTCTTCTCCAAGTGCTCCCATAGCAAGCAGCTTGCTCTTCTGTGTGCTCGCTTCCGAGCCCCATACTGAATGTCCATAAGACACACCGGACAGGGCTCAGCTCCGCCCACAGCTCCTTCCTTACTGGCTGTGATTGATAGCTGCGGGAGCAAATGACTTCCACTGCTGTCTCTCAGCCAATGAGGAGGCAGAGACCTGGGAGAGCTTTCGTGCATACCGCTGGATTGGGCTTGGGTAAGTATCAGCGGGGGGCTGCGGAGGAAGCTGCATGGTGAAGGTTTTTTACCTTCTTGCATAGAATACATGAAGGTAAAAAAACCTTCAGCCTTTAGAACCACTTTTAATGTGTATGCCTGTTAGCCGTCTTCTATATTCTTCTCGGGTCACCCTTTTAAGTTGGCCATACACTAGCAGAAACAAATGTTTCTGTTTTAATTACGTTCGTACTATCTAACCATCAGTGAGATCAAATCGATATCCATTTTTGACCATAGTGATGAGAAAATTTGGAGGAGAATGGAAAAAATTTTGTCGAATGAATTTCTAATGGCTCATTTACGCTTGCTTCGACTTTAACACAAATTAAAACTCCCACCGCTTCAACATACTTTTTTTTTTTTTTTTTTTAAAGCTTTAGGAAGCTTGGCATATGTTCTGTGTGTTGATTTTTGATTTGTTTTAAAGGGGCCCAGTAGAATGCCAACTCGGTAGTACCCCAACTCAGCAGATCCCCAGCTTATTAGTACCACCACCAGCTCTGCTGATCCCCCGCTCAGTATAACCTCTAGCTTTGATGACTCCCGTTAAGTAATATCCCCCAGCTTTACTGAGCCCTCGCTCAATAGTAAACCCCAGCTTTGCTAGCCCCTTGTCAGTATTAACCCCCCAGCTCTGCTGATCCCACACTCGTTGGTAACCCTCAGCTTTGCTGATCCTCCTCTCTCCCGCTCACGCAGTCTCTGCTCACCTACCGATATATTGTCCCATGCTGTGCACCACGTGTGACATCTTAGTTTCTCCTGCTCCAGTTCCCCAGTTCTGGCGATAATCTGTTTAGTCCTCTCTGTCTGGTCTACGCTCACTTTCCGCTATAGTGTTTCCCATATGACACACGATGTGTGCCGTCTGCTAGTTGCGCCACTCTGGTCCATCCCCCAACACACACCTTCCTGCTGCTTCTACAGATGTGACGTCTGCACCAGACACTTCCAGAATATATGCACATGAACTAGAATTGACTGCTGATTACTTTTTTTCCCGTTTCGATTGTTGGTTTCCCACTGCATCCTGAGATGTCGCATACCTGCAATACCTCCAAAACAAAGCAAAGCTAACGTTGAATAAAAGCCTCTCAAAAACTGCAGGTACTGTTAGCAAGCGCTGTCATAGACTTTCAGTGGAGGCTTTGAAGTGACATAGGGTATAATAATCGAAGCAAAGCAGATGTAAAGTGTTAACAGGACTGGAAGCTTACCATTTTATTTAGTGATAGGTGCTTTGATTGGCATTCAGAGCGCTTTAAAAATGTGTGTCCAGTGCCACATTTTGAAGCAAGCGTAAACAAGCCTGGACAGTGTAATTACAGTAAATTACATTCGTTCCAACACTGAATCGAAAAGGCAAACAACATTTTTTAACTATTTTTGAACAACATATGTCAAATCATTGAATGTACTGAAAATCGTTTGAATGTTCATTCAGAAATCTCCCAGTATATGGCCAGCTTTAAAGTCTTAAAGCAGTTAGAGCAGTCTTGTGACTTCTGTCAGTGTTCAGCAGAGCACTGGTTAAGGCTTGTAGGAGGAGTTTTTTCTAGGGGGATGCAGAACCCCTGACCTCTGTCTGGACAGTGCTGATTGGCCCTGTGCTGATCCCATGCACTCTCCCAAGAAAACAAAACCTCTAGCAATACACACCAAACTGAGCATGTGCAGTGTCTCCACATGATGTGTCTTATCAGGAGATAAGAGGGGTGCACTGGAAGAAGGGGAGGATCAGAGAAGACAGGATCAAACATTATTTTACAAAGTGCAGAGGATTAACCCATTAGGTTCCACAGTGAGTATAACAAGCATGCTTTACTGCATATACAGACTGATATTACTGTTGTGGGTTTAGTAACACTTTAATATCACAGCAGATTATGGGTTTGTGTAGATGGGTGTTTTTAGCCATTTTTCAAACACTGCCTTTGGCATTTAAACATAGTTATACCCAAACACATGCATTCAAATGTGAAATGCCACAAAAGGCTGCATTTGACCTGCTTTACTTGCAGTACAAATGGATCTCAAAAGGACATGCTTTGTCCAGAGAAACACAAAGAAGGGCCAACTGGGTCTCAGAATTGTCATCTGCTGATTTGCGTTTGATGCACGTTTCAAACATCAGACATAGGAAAACACCCGCCTACATGAGCCCTAAACAATACAGTTTTCATGCAACCGATAGTGCAATCTAATGACAGTGCTGATAGTCATTTTGTCTCCACAGTAATCTACAGTCAGTTCCTGAAAGAAAGGAGTTATTTCTGGCACACATGGCCACGGGAGATTTCAGAATATTCAACTTAACAAGAAAGCGCTAAATGCTTTTTTTTTTTTTTTTTTTTTGTAGATCAGTATATTTGTCTTGGTGGTGTTATTAATATATTTTCTTGCTACACTAGCCTGCAGTTCCTCTCTAAAGTCAGTCTAATGTTTAGATCTTTTAGAGCGATCTCTGACACGAAGGGTCACAAAACTGAGCAAGCTTTCAGTTTAATAAAATCTAGTTCTTGTAAATACTTGAAAATGTTCTAGTATGGTCCCTTTAAGAAATGTTTGCAGTGCCTTGTTCTTGACCAGTGTTTGTCACGGTGTCCTTTGGTGCTAATCATAGCAACTTACCAAGTTCATTTTCTTCCAGGTGGTAGCGGTCTCTTTAGTAGTGCAGCTGTTTCTGCAACATCTGGCCCAGTGGCCTCATCTGCAACAGAAAAGTATGTATTATAACTTGTATGTGTATTGCAAGTGCTCTGATCAATGCTGAATGCAGGAGGGGGGACTGGATGACTGCTGATAGGCAACTGCTTCTAGCCTAATGTTCTTACAGTGGGAATATCCAATATTAAGCAGTTGCTAAAGGGAGTGTAGATAGTGTTCCTTGTCCGGATATTCTGCACAAATATGACTCTTTTTGTGAGGGCAGTTTGTATGAAAGTGCTGCATGTGCCTGTTGTCTTCATCCATTGTTTCAGGCAGGTGTCCTTACCCCCCCTTATCCTCTGTTGCTTTAGCTGAACTCTGAAGACGAGAAATATGTACCCTTGTAGTGGGTCCTATTCCTCACTGCAAGGGTTAACTGCATAGGGTATGGTGAATAAGGTGATATACCTTATCTATGCCCCCTATCAATCAGCACTCACCTCTGCTGTCCGATGCTCCAGAATGCACATGGGTCCATGGCATTCTTGCGTACAATGCAGGACTGCTAGTCCCACATTATTGGGGGTTGATGTACAATAGCTGCAATCATTGGGCAGCAGAGGCAAGAGGGAGGTCATAGGAGGACTGTGCGCATGAAGAGTAGGAATTGGGGAACTATAACACCTTATTCATTATCCCCTTGACAAAATGAGCAGTGAACCCTTGAAGTGTGGAGGGGTCTTACTGTAAGGGTAAATGTTTTTTGTTCTCAGAGTTCAGTTTTAGGTTGTCCATTGATATTTGATGGCAAACGTTAGATCCAACTGTTTTTGACCTGATTATGAGTCTAATGCATATGGGTCACTTCCAGTTGAGGTTTATCAGGAGAAATGATCAGACATATTGGAATACATTGCTGATCACTTTATGCTTCCTGTGGTTAACCAGTGCCAGGGGTGTCTGTAATTTTCCTGTCTGTCCCTCTCCTTAGGCTAGTAAGGAATCATTCTATAATGTGAATGTTCATGTTTAGGAACCTGGTGGCTGGTAGGAATTGTAATGAGACAGAGTGCACCAGCCCTAGTGCATTATCCCAAAGTAAATTTATTAAAATAATGGTAAAATCAAACTCTCAAACAATATGTGTAAAATCGCTTATCAAGTACAGCCACTTGGTACAATGATCAATAAGACCAAGGACCTAGACAAAGGCTAACGCGTTTCGAGGGAACCCTCTTCCTCAGAGTCAAGAGAATAGGATCCCTCCATCATGTTAAATCCCCTACTGACCAAGAGGGAAGAAGGTTACCCTCGAAATGCGTTAGTCATTGTCTAGGTCCTTGGACGGCACCTTTGAAGCAACGTAAGGTCCATTGGGACTTTTTGATCATTATACCTAGTGGCTGTACCTGATATGCGATTTTCCACATATTGTTTGTGAGTATGATTTTACCATTATTTAATACATTTTACCTTGGGTTAATGCACTAGGCTATTGCGCTCTGTTTGTCTCTTTATAGTTGGTATCAGGACTACCCCAGTCGTTTGTGAGAGCAGCAAGGCTTGGCTTATCCGTTGGTCCATTCATGAAACATACATACACAGATATATATAGGATAGCTGTTTCTGGTGCTCCACACTCATATGCAGGAGAGTTTAACATTTTTATTTGATTGGTAGAAATGCCTGAGGACAGTCAGGTCATGTCTGTATGTCTCGCATACTTCTACTATCTTTAAATTTAGAGGCCTTTAGACGAAGGATAAACCTGCTTCAGAGCTCAGGAACCTTCAATGCCTGTTTCATTTTGACATTGACATGTCTCGCCATGGAAAAACGCTCAATAGACCTGCCTTAGTAAACTAATCTTCCTTGCTACTTGGTGACTACATTTATCTTAAGCTTACAATAGTTGACAGAGGGGGTGGTCAGACATGTAGAAATAGTTTGGTCACCTTTGAAAGATATTTCAGTAAGCAAGCTTACATTAAATGTCCAAGCACACAGGTTGAAAGGGTAGATATCTGCATTAAGGTAAACAAACTTCTACGAGCTGCTCCCTCCCCTCCTCCAGCCCCCCATATACTTACTTTATCCCGATCTCGATCCAGCAATGTGCACTAAAGCAGAGGCTCTTTCAGCTCTCTCACTCCTCATTGGCTCAGAAACCGTAGCGGGAGCCATTGGCTCCTGCAGCTGTGAATCACAGCCAGTGAGGAGAAATTGGGGGGGCTTGGGAGCGAGCCCCACAAGTGCTTCCATAGGAAGTGGCTTGCTATGGCAGCACTTGGTGGGGGGGGGGGGGGAACCAGGAGCACTGGCAGGGTACCTGCTAAGATGAGGATCAGGGCTGTTTTATGCAAATCCATTGCACATAGCAGGCAAATATACCATGTTGGTTATTTTGTATTAAAAAAAAAGGAGCATTTACAATTACTTTTAAGACTATGCAGTAGAGATTGCAGAAACACATCCCTGATTTTCTCCTTATTACTGACCGTAGCAGTTGAGAAAAATATCCATCCAATCCAGGCAGTCTGACTTTCTCCCAAAATCAGGTGACTGTGTAAATCTGCATGTTACAGGGGTTTTCTTTCTGTCCAAAAATAAATCAAGCCAATTTGGTCATACCATACTACTATCATCATACTACTAGTTACCCTTACAGATTGTAGCTATACCATTTGACTGGTTCCTCAGATTGCATCATACCTACTTCAGTGTAAACTTCAAGTGGAGTCAGGAGAGGTTCATTTTGGTTTATACAACATTGTTTATATGTAGTAGGTACTATAAAAATGGGCGTATCCTGTACATTTTTTTTGTATTTTAACACTTGGTAGTTACATTTTTGCTGTCTTTATTGCTTCTATCTGACCTTCCCAGTGTTTGTCTAATAAAGCAAACCTAACTCTATCTATATATATATATAGATATATATATATATATATATATATATATATATATAGATATATATATATATATATAGATATATATATATAGATAGATAGAGAGAGAATATAAAAGTGTTTTCCCCTATTTATGCAACAGTATGATCTAAAAGTTCTACGTTTCCGATACTACATTTGCAGTAATACATGTAAATGATTGTAGGCTTTATTCACACTAAAGCTTTACTTAAAACACTGTTTTGGTGCATGTCATTAATATGCTTTTTGTGTCGTTTTGCAGCATTTACCTTGTATTTTGTTTTCATTTTAACATTCCAACATGTGTTAGAATGCAGTGAAGGTAAACACATGAGCTGCATGTTTTCTGTAACGATAAAGCTGTTTTTATGGTTTGAGGAATTAGGATTTGTAACTGCAAATCTGCTTGTATTTTTCAGCAGTGTTTTTGGAATACCTGCTGCAGTCCCTGCAGCACACGCGCACCCCACGCCACCAGTCGCTGGAACCTTTGGAGGTGAGAGCAAATTATTTCTTATCACTGTCTTTATTACAAGCCATATGTTTGTTAGAATAGATTTCTTTTAAGACCTTGTAAAACACATTTGCACTCTCCTAAAGGCCATCGCCATTAAAATAGCTGAGTGGACAGTTTGAAACATGTATGTAGCTACACCTGAAGCCTCTGAAAGATTTGTAAAGGAGTGTGCTATTGCTGTTATCTACTTACCTGTCATACTGTGTTGCTGCATTTTGTTAGGAGAGTGACACCACTGAGCAGACTATGCCTATGCTTTAGCTGCTACCCAATCTTTTCTTTTAGCAAAGATCATCACAATGGTGATGTCCACATAATACCTTCATCTCCTTCCCATCCATTTACAGAGTAGGCACTTCTACTTTAAGCATAATTTTAGGTTTCATCTAGTTTGTACCATATCAATATAAAATGTATTTTATGTGATTACATTATTTACGTGAAAATATATATTTTTTTTCATCACTTTTGCAGCACCTGCTTCCACAACCCATTTGTGTCAGCTTCCGTTGCACAAGCTGTTAATCCATTCCAGACAAATGGGCGAGCAGCACCAGGTATATAAAACAAAATTGGTCTATAAATGCATTGTGAAGTTTTCTGCATGCAGTGATCATATAATTCCCATGAGTCTGTGCTGTGTAGTGAAAAATAATCCAATTATATGGATGATAGTTTATTTTGCTGCTGCTGTTGAAGCCAATTTTCGTTCAATAAATTTTTAAAATTAAGTTTGACAAGCATAACAATACAGGAAAACCAAATATGCTCACATGAGCAATTGTGTCAATAAAGAGTGGCATAACAAGGCATAGTGCAAGCAAAGCACGAGTGAACTAGGGCTTTATAAAAAATTATACATAATAAAGAGTAACACTCGATTAGGGGTGTGCCCCAGGAAGAACATATTAAATGTTTAATGAAATAAAGCTTGGATGACACCTGCATCCAAAACGATGCCCCCTCATCCTCCCAAGAAAAAATCGAAGGAAGGTAGTGAGGGAACGGACCAGGAAGCCATTGTTACTCTTACTCCCAAATTCCCTCTTACGTACACCCAGGTTTGGCTTCCTCTGGTCACAAACAGCCTACTTCTTTTGGGTTACTCTCTGGTAATAGCCACAGCTCAGGGCTTGTGTCCATGTGCAGCCTCCTTACAGGTGTGTTCCGCTAGCAATTAAGATTAGCTTGAGAATTAGCAGGTGCATTTCAACTGCAATTGACTCCAATCTGACCTATAGTATATTTGATTTTTTTTCTAAGCTATGCTTTAATCTGCTTCTACATTCTTACTGACATATAGTGAGGGAAGCAGTTCTGACATGAACAAATACACGGTCTTTAACCACTTGCCCCCCTGAGGATTTACCCCCCTTCCTGACCAGGCCATTTTTTGCGTTATGGCACTGCGTTACTTTAACTGACGATTGCGCGGTCATGCAACACTGCACCCAAATGAAACTTGTGTCCTTTTTTTCCCACAAATTGAGGTTTTCTTTCTGTGGTATTTGATTGCCTGTGCATTTTTTATTTTTTACGCTATAAAAATAAAAAGACCGACAATTTTTAGAGAGAAACAATATTTTTTACTTTTTGCTATTAAACATGTCCACTAAAAAAATTTTAAAAAATCAAATTCGTCATAAATTTAGGCCAAAATGTGTTCTGCTACATGTCTTTGCTTAAAAGAATCCCAATACATGTAAATTAATTGGTTTACTTGAAAGTTAGTGTTTCCAAATGGCGGTATAGATACTGGAATGTTTTTTTTTTTACTAGTTATTATAGCAACGATCGACTTATAGCGGGACTACGTCAGAAATTCTGACATCCCCAGTGACACCAATACAGTAATCAGTGCTAAAAAAAAAAAAAGCACTGACACTGTACAAATGGCACTGGGCAGGAAGGGGTTAACATGAGGTGCAATCAAAGGGTTAACTGTGTGCAGGGAGTGTTTTACTACGGGGCCATGTCAGTGTGCTTCACTGTAAGCACACACTGCTTTGGATGGCCATCCAAAGCAGTGTGCCCGAGCTGACAGGGAGGAGGACTGTTAACAAAACAGTCCTCCCCATCGGAGATGCTGAGTAATCACCGGGTGGGTCCTGGTGATTGACAGCCGCCAACGGCGGCACAGGTAGTGCACCACCCCTATCCGGAAATGCGAAATCCTGTGTATATATACGCATGATTTTGCACACCCCTGCTGCCCGGTAGCAGTATATCTGCTATAGGGCAGCAGGAAGGCAATTAAGGCTAAGGCACTGATTGTCTGTTTTTGCCTGAACGTAAAATGTTCATATTCCTAGATTCATTAATGCAATAATTCTCCAATATAAAACTTTATTTTAAACACAATATTTGTAAAGAGGCACCTGTATAATAGTCTCCCATTCTAGGTAGCTCTGGTGTATCATTTATATAGCGTTGATAATTGTGGCTTCATATATTACTATTCATGCATTTGTTTTTGATTTTATAAGTTAATTAAAAAGCCCATTAAGTAAAGTTTGATAAATGTGTTAGTTTTCCACCACAGTAGAATTCTTGCCTGTTAGGTAAACCATCTAGTTCATCTAATTTCCTTGAAATTCTTAAACAGGAATCCGTGATGGGCAAACAGAGATGGAGTTTCCAGCTGCTCCATTTCACCCATTCCACCAGACCAGACTACCGACAGCCGCAGCGATGGATGTCTGTGAGTAGTCTGTACTCTTGTCTTTGTCACTGGTGCCCATACAGGGAAGAATCGTTGAAAATGACTGTGCTGCTCATAGCTACCTAGTCAGATTTTTTTTTTTTTTTTTGTCTAAGCTCTGCCATCTGATGAGTAATGGTGAGCAAAGACATTTTCCTGCCCTTCAGTTTTTATAGATCATTCCAAATGTATTCATGTGCAGCATGGTTATTTTTATGCAGGGCCCTTGAAACATAAGAGACAAGGGGAAGTATGTCTTTGATGGCTGATGTTAAAGAGGATCTGTCATTTTCTTTTCTGTGGTTACTATGTAGAAGGCTGTGCACTAAAGCAAAACACCAACATTTCTGTCTGCTTGTGAGGTATCTTTGAAAGCTTTGCATGCAGATGACCTCTGCTTAATACTAGGACTAGTTCTAAACTTGAAGGAAAACTGTTTCCATTGCCCCAGAGGTAGCATAAGTAGTATGCAGCTTTATTTTTGTCATGTGCCTATCGCAGACTCCTGTTAAAAAACGTGAAGCAGGTTTCTAGGATTACTTAATACCACAGTAGCGCCATAAGATTACTATACATTTTAAAGTGATTGTCAGTGATACTAAACCCAACAATGTTTTTTTTGTAATGAATTGATTGCATTAATGTAAAAAACGTTTAGTTTCCATATGCTCCCCCTTCCTTGTGTGAAGGGGAAGAGATGGGAGAAGAGATCATGCTGTGCGTTGCTGAATCTCTTCCCCCCCCTCGCTTCCTGTTTACACAGGAACTCAAACAGTAACAGGATTCATTGGCCCGTGCTGCTGTCAATCAAATGCGCTGAAGAGGAAGTGAAAGGGGGGGGGGGGGGGGGACGGGGCTACGTCCCGCTGTATGTGTGTATGGAGCGCGGCTCCGTAGTGTCTTGGAAATTCGTTTTCAACTAATTTTTCCTTACCGTGAGTAGCTCTTTTGAGATGTGGGGAAAAATGGAGCTCCCGTGACCCAGGAATAATCAAATGATACTCTCAGGTTGGAGGTTGAATTCACTCTGTGTCTGGCTCTAACCCCAGACTCTTGTTTTATTAAAAGCACACACACGCCCCCCCACACGGGGGGTCAGGTCAATCCCCTCCCACAGAACAATGTATAGGGGGTGTCCATACATGAGAATGTACATCCTGTTTGGAGTGTAGCATTTCCTCTTATCTATACTGAAAAACCAGTTAAACCAGTCCTCCCCTCCCCCATAAGCTCTCTGTGGAGAGCAAGCTTCCCATCCTTTACATGCTATCAGCTCCTAGTAGTATGTTCACTCTCTGTACAAGCATCTCTTAAATGAAACAGTGCCAGTCTGTATCTGAATGGGCCTGATATGATCTTTATTAAAACACACCCATCCAGATACAGTTCAGGTCGGTAGTGGCTTGTAAGATATACATGAGCCTGCACGCGGAGTTCGCACTGCCCGGCGCCTGGCCATACGAAGTCCATGTGGTACTATGCTGCTGATATGTGGATACAGGCCCGCGGCCTGCCGCCTGCAGCATTCGCATCGAATGCCGTGGTGGCATACTCGCCAGTCTATAAGCGCAGATCTGCCATCTCATCCATTACCAAGCTGAGTACTGTAATATATACATTGTAAATGCGCATGGCCTAATTGCAGCCTTCAGAGCTTTAATTAAGCCACACGAAAGACATATGAATAACACTGATATATGACACATTTTAAGTTCAACCTGTAATACAAAATTTCCATGACAGTAGAAACACAGGTCGGGAGCACGCAGCGTGTGTCCCCATAGCAAACGGCTTGCTATGGGGACACACAAAGGAGGAGTAGCCAAGATCACTGCCAGGGGACCCAAGAAGATGAGGATTGGGGCTGCTTTGTGCAATACCACTGCACAGAGCGAGCGAGTATGTTTAGTTAATTTTTTTTGTAAAAAAGCTGCTTTTAGTAATCCTTTAACAAAAAAAAACAAATTGTAGAGGTGCCTGCATATACCTGGAGCAGCTTTAGTTTCCCCCTGCATGCCCAGATGCCTAGTCATTCATGCCAGCAAAGCTCTGGCACTTGCTTGTTCTGATGGAACTTGCCTGCCCCTCCCACACATTCCTGTTGGCCAGGGAGATAGTTCATCATTCACAGCCAGTAGAAATGGGGGGGTAGGTGAAGGAGCTTTAACCATTCAGAATAGCCTAGCATTCAGACATGCAAGACACAAACAAAGCTGCTACATGTGCCTCTTCTTTTTTACTTCTAGTAAGTATTTTTTTTTAAGGAACTACTAACATTTAGCTGGTGCAAGACACCCACTGTGTGTATATAATGAGGCTCATTTTGCAGGTGCACATTGACAGACCATGACTAAATACAACAGTTTGTCAGCCATTTGCCAAGTCCTAAAGCAGACATTTGGAAATCATTAGGCTTCACGCACACTAGAAAAGCTAAAAACTGTCTTAGAAATGCTGGACAACTAAATGCTAATGATTTGCTGCTGTGTTCAGCCTAATTTGTATTCTACATTTAGTAGCTTCAGCGGTAAGGAGCAGTGACTCCATTTTAATGGAGCTGGCCGGGAAGCCAGCCTCCACTTTCTTAACAATGATAGTCATCAGCCATCATCGGGGTTCCCCACTAACAGCTGAATGGAAAAAAAAAAAAAGAAAACCTTTGCCGGCAATACAAAATTGTGAAAAAAAATGGTGGACTTCAGTCCGCTGTCAGCTGAAAATGGGTCACAGGAGTGCAGAATGAACTGCACTCCTGTGATCCACAGGAGACTCACAGCCAAAAAAGCTTTGACTGTATGTCTCCTTTTAGGTCTGTGTCTTCTAACTTGGTTTATGAATTTGTATTTAATTGATTAAATGAGCTCAGTGGTTTTCAGAAATATAATAGTAATGGTGTCTGTTTATCAATGTTTTTATCCAAGATTCACACAATCAAATATTCAAAAGAAAAATGTGAAAATCGTGGATGAAATCATTGATAAATAGACCGCTTAATCATTGTGTACAGAAAAGGAAACAAATGACAGGTCCTCTTTAAACAATAGAATGTGCATGTAATGGTATACAGCGGAGGTTATTAATACCATTGTATGCTGTTTCAGTTTTCTTTCCAAGGACATTCCCAGTGTTTACCTACACAAACCAGAATCCACACTCAGGTGACAGTTGCATGTGCTTACTTAGATTTCAGTGCTGCAGGTTTGTCCTCATTTTGTGTGGATCTACTGTTTCTTATCTGACTGTCAGCATGCCCATTGTTCTCTTATTAGAATGCACTATAAAGAGTTTAAAGGACCACTGTGCCCCAAACAAAAAAACCCCTACATTTGTGAAGGAACTACATGCAACCTTCACAGTCAACCAGGTGACGATAGCCATACCTTCAGAGAAATTGGGAAATGTGTGTAATTTTTAACACAGCCTATTGCTCGGAGGTATCTGCCATGTTAGGTAACAGGTAGCAGAATGACAATGAACCTTCACATTACAGGACAAATAGGCAGCTGTATGTTTGGAATTCTTTTCTCACAGCAACAGCTTTATTGTAAAGGTTGTCTAAATCCCAGAATAACAAAACATTTTCTGCAAGTACAGAAAAATAATGTTTTGTCTTTCCAGAATTCCAGTGTCCTTGTAACTCCCTGTGCACTGAGCTGCTAAATCAAATAATCTCATCAGTTTTCCAAGCTACTTTCTGTGGACTTTGAAGGAACACTTAACTGTGTAATGGAGATGAGGTTTGGAGAAGTGTTTAGTAGTCTAAATTAGGAGAGCAACCTAGAGTGACAATCATAGCTGTTTCTGTAGATACAGTGAGAAGTGAGCGTTGTCAAGAAATAAAGAAAAAAAGCCTGAAAAAAGGAAACGAATGCAGTCTCTGCATATAGGAACTGATGAGCTACAGTATATAACATTTTTGCTTTTAGGTTTAGATGCTCATAGTAACTTCCTGTGATCATTTCTCGATCTTCGCATATTTTCTTTGTGATTTATTAAATGATGTATCCTTATGTATGTAAAGTAAAGCTATTTATCTTTTTGGTTCATTAAGTGACACAGGAATTCAAAGTATGCTGAGTTAAACTGCTGTCTGAAATGGCATTTGGACACAAAATACTTGTGGCCATTTTGGTATAACCCCTTCTACTCCCAGCATGGCTGATTTTATTTTGGGGTGGGAGAATGGACATCTTTCTGCTCTGCTGAGAAAAGTCTAACCTTTTCACCTGTATTTGTTTTTTCAATCGGGATAATTTTGTCTTTATTCAAGATTACTATAAAAACTGCTTGAGGTGGTTTCTACACACAACTGTGCGGATTGGCATTTCCTTAGCAATGGCTTTAGAGGCCATATCTGCTGGACTGGACAAATGTCCATCCTTCCTCCTATGTCAGGAAAAGTTCATTTGTGATATGAAAGGGGGAGCCCCTATTTTTCATAGTGTTGGGATATCTGTTGGCATCTGTGGACACCTGGACAGGTATTGTCTCAGATGCCTGGATGCGGGGCATAGCTTCCAGGGACTGCAAGGTAAAATTCAACTCTCGGCCTGCTCCTCGTTCTTGATTTCCAGCCTACCATGTGTCACCAAACAGATTAATAGATCTCCATGCAGGCTTTGTGAATCTTCTGGAGCATGAGGTCATTGTCTTGTTACCAGTGGCAAGGTGTTCCCGAGGTTTTATTCTGACCTATTTACATGTTCCGAACAAAAAGGGGGCATCCACCCCACCAAGGATCTTAAGGCCCTAAATTCCTTCATGTGAGCCCCAAAATTCAACCTAGAATTCATCAGGTCTGTTATACCCTTTCTCCACCAAGAATTTCTGGCTTCTGTGGACATCAAGGATACGTACTTGCATATCACCTTTTTTTGAGCACTTCAGCAATTTCTTTGCTTTACTGCAGGCACTTCCAGTGGGTGGTCCTGCTACTCAGACTATCCTTTGCGCCTCTATTGTTCACCAATGTCCTCACTCCTGTGTTTGCTCCAGGGCATCCCCATTGTGGGATATCTGGAATATCTTCTGGAGGAAGCAGTTGACTCAGGTTCTGACCAGCCATGCAGCTTGATCTGTCCAGACCCTGCAAAGGTCTGGCTGGATCCTGCACCTTTGGAGGTCAGCACTGGAACTGACTCATCACTTGGAATATCTGGGTCTTATCCTAGACATAGAAGCTGCTCTTGGGGAAGAAAAACTCTGGCTTGAGCTAACTCTCTACTCCTAGACTCCAGCACCAGGATTCGCCCAACTTTTTACTTCTGCATGAGAGTTCTGGGGCTTAGGGCCGACTCTTTTGAGGCAGTCCTATTTGCCCAGTTTCATTCCAGACCCCCTACACCACAACATTCCATCATCATTGAACAAGTCAGTCCAGACCTTGGACAAACTAATTTGACTGGTGCCAAAGATTAGGTTATCTCTTATCTTGTGGCTCATTTATTCAGCTCTGGAGTTGGTGGAAGATCTTCCAGTCTCTTAGATACTTACAACAAAGCTTATGTTTGAAGTGTAAGCTCCTTTAGGTGCAGACAGTCCCCACTTGTTTTTTGTAGGCCTGTTAGTGTTTTGTTGCTCTTGTCCACCCTATCAATTTGACTGCATTCGGACATCCCAACAGTCTGAATTCCTGTGTCCTTCAATGAACGATAAGGAAAATGGAAATTTTGTACTTATCGTATAATCCACTTCTTTGAGTTCATTGAGAGATATGGGTCCCATAGCTCTAGGTCTATGACCATGCTCTTGGTATTGCTTTTACACAAAACTGAGGCAAGGTGGGAGTAGGAAGGGTTATACTAGGTTGGCCACAAGTTTTTGTTTTTTTGTTTTACAGTTTCCAAATCCTTCTGTAGGAGACAGCAAAACCCAAGAGTCTCTGAATTCCTGTCACTCTCAACTAACTCCAGGAAATTGATTTTTTTTTTTTATAAATACAAGCATCCCAATTTCTTTTTACAAACTGTTTTTCCCCCACTAATAAAGTGGAACTAAAGGCAAAGCTTTTATTCATCTTGAATAGAGTAAGGGAGGGTTATACCCCTGTCAAGTTTTGGGGTTTTTTTTTGCCGACTGTCTCCTATTGGGGAGAATTCCCTTCACTTCCAGTCCCGTAGCCACAATAGGAAGCAGGAGGAAATCCCAGGTCCGGTAAACAGGAAATATAGAGGGTGAATCTCCCTAGTGGGAACACAGACAGCAGTAAACAATGCAGATGTTCTAGTCCCTCTCCATTCTGTCAAAAACTAAGAAATAGTTTTGCCGTTTAGTAGTTTTAACTTTTTAGTTATTTGATAGTAAAGACAGTTTTTTTAGTTTCTCTTGCTTTGGGTTTACAGTACCACTTTTACAGAACATGGAGCTGGACTTTTAGCAGCGGCTAAACAGATCTTCCAACACAAATTTTGCAAACGACATCCTTTGTTAAGTTTTTAACAAGTACACTGTCATAAACCTAAAACAACACATTTGATTAATATACAGTATAGTTAAAGTAGCTTAAAATATTTTTTTTAATTAAATCCTTAGTGTTAAATGACCTATAAATTAAACAAACTGTAAAAAAAAATCTACCATATTATAGGAAAAATATAGTTTTAAAGCGGCCCGTTTTAGTTCCATTTTTCTCATAGCATCTTTCTAACCCTCCTCCTTCTCTATTACACGTTTAGTTTTTGAGAGTAGCAAGTAGGGTTTTTCATGCTCCTGCGTCCTTATTCCCCACCTAGGTGAGGATGATGTCGTGCTCAGCCTATCCTTCCACAAACCGCCTTCTGGAATAATATCACACATTCCAGGAGGCTATGGGACCAGTCAACCCCAGCTGGCTGATCTTACACATTTGCAGTGGGGAGCTGGCTGTGAATCATCAGGAAGCGACAGTCCGCTGCCAAATGAAAGATGGTTCATGTAAATCTAAAGAATTGTGAAGATTTCAGGTGTCAACAAGATGGCATTGGACGTAGTTGACTGATAAGTATTTCTTTCTTAAATGTTAGGAGCTACAGTATTTGTAGCTGCTGACTTTTATTTTTGTAAAGGGTGAGTGAAGTTCCTCTTTAAGCTGATTGAGGATTTCTGTTCTTTGGAATTACTTCTTGACATTTGAGAACTATTTGTTTGGTGTTGAGGTTTTAGTTATAACTGAGGAGTAATAAAGATAGATCAATATGTACTCTTGTGTATCTTATCATTTCTTTTCCTTCTCCGGCCTCACCTGGCACAGCTTCTTTTGGCACAGCCTCTCTAAGCATGCCCGCAGGCTTCGGGACATCAGCATCTTATAGTCTTCCGACCAGCTTCAGTGGCTCTTTCCATCAGCCTGCATTCCCTGCCCAGACAGCCTTTCCCCAACAGACTGCTTTCTCCCAGCAACCCAATGGTAATATACAAGGTAATGGTCCTCCACATATGATTGTGCTATATTCACATGCAATGTAACTCTACATGTTTGACATAATCTTTCATAGAATACATGAAAATCTCTGTCACCACTTTTTTACTGATACTGTTTTCTTTTGTGAAGGAGCTGGTTTTGGTGTGTTTGCTCCAGCAAAGTCAGTGGTTACTCCGTTTGGACAAGTTGCAGCTCCTGCGGTCTCTAGCAATCCTTTCATGGTGAGTTTTGTTATTATTGGGGTGTAAAATGTGCAATTTAAAGAGACCCTGTTGTCAGACCCCTAGGATTATGTGTGCATTTCACATGTTTTATGAATGTTAATTTCCCGTAAAAGTAGTGGTGCACCGAAATTAAAATTCTGGTGCCAAAACCGAAAATTCAAAATGCACCTGGCCGAAAACCGAAATGTGCAGTTTTTAAAAATGAATATATATATGTTTTTTTAAAAAAATACACTTTGATTAAAAAAACAATATATACCCCAATTTTTTTGTAATATATGAAAGAGGATGTTACAGTGAGTAAATAGATACCGAACATGTCACGCTTTAAAATTGCGCACGCTTGTGGAATGGCGTGAAACTGCAGTACTGAAAAATCTCCATGGGTGATGCTTTAAAAATTTCTACAGGTTAGAAGTGTAAAGTTAGTAAGAGAATTATTGCTCTTGCGCTGACATTCATGGGGATACCTCACCATTTACATATGTGGGCATGGCCTACGTATGCGTTCACCACTACGTGCGAGAATTGGGGGAACGTTAAACTTTTTTTTTTTTTTTTTTTTTGCACTGTCCCTTTTAAAAAAAAATTTTAATCACTTTTATTCTTATCACATGAAATGCATGCATACCTTGTTATAGTATTAATTAGTGACAGGTCCTCTTTATGGAGAGATATGGGGTCAATAAGACCCCACATCTTCTCTGCAATGTAAAGCATCAAATAAAAAAAAAAAAAAAAGCATTGATCTAGTGCTTTAAAATAAATACAATCCGTCCAGAAATGACAACGCTCCGGTCCTCCAAGGACATAGAGACGAGTGGAGGCCATCTTTCCTTCACTCAACTCTATGCCCAGCACCGGGATCGTTTGATGGTAAGGCTAAGAACTGCTGAGCAGCAGCAGCGAGGGGCGGGGGTTTGAGAAACCGCGGGGCAAGGTTTAGGGTCAAGTGACCGCCGTGATTTGCTGTCACGGCAGTCACATGATCGGGAAAGGTCCCAATCGCAAAGGGCATGCACTCTCAGCACATATGTATTTTCAAATGGTGTGCAAATATGTGGGGCGCTCGACGTCAAGGCCCAGACACCGAGAGGCTGCATATTTGTGTGATCTCGGCATCTAGGGGTTAAAAGCCTTTCCTATGGAAACATCCAAAAGCCCCTTGACTGCTGCTGTGTGCTGTCATTTTGGATGGGATTTTAGAGGGCAGACTTTTAGAGCAGCTGTCACTCGAGTGAGGCACCCTGTAGTATACTCTTTTGGTCTCCTTTTAACTGCCACATAAAAGGATTTGTAGGGGGGAAGGTGCAGAGGAGTTTGTCCAACACAGAGAGTAATTAAGCACTTCCATAAAACAGGAGGGCTAGGATGTACACAAAGGGAGGATACTGTACTAAGGAAGTGAGATTTGCTAGCAAGTTTGAGGCACATTTAAGTCAATAAAAATGTATGTATAGAAAATATCTCTACCTTTTTTTTTTTTTTATTATTTTAAAGTGCATTTTTATGTAAAAAAATGTTTATTTAAATTGGGGGCATATTGGCACGATACCTGTCAAGCATTACAGCTTACAAGTAAAGGTATGGTAATTCACAGCTCAAATTGTTACAGTTTGGCCATATTTCTCTTGTGGATCAGAGGAGTACAACTACTTATGTCCTTCTGTGACACTGAGTCAGCTGAAAGCGGACTGATGTCAGGATCTACCCTGCTGTCTGATCGACAGCTGGCTCCACCTTTCAGCATGTGGCTCCGAGCTGGAACCAGCCACTCCCACCCCCTCCCTGGCCCAGCACTCCAGTGAACACTGGAGGAGCAGAGAAGAGAGTTGAGACTGACAACCGCTGATATCCGTTCCAAGCGTACCATAAACTGAGTAATCAGCAGTCACATGAGTGCTCGGATCCTACGTCTGACTAATACAGCATCACACAAATACTGCAACATGGAGGTGTTAGTATGTGTGTGTGTTTTTTTTTTTTGGAATGCTATACTTCAAGTACCAATGAAAATAAATAATTGGTCACTAAAGTACAGTTTAAGGGGTTTATAAGACTGAAAACCTCCTACTTGTAGTGCTAACCATGTGTACTTGCAGCAAAGTTCTGTGTGATATTGCTATCTTTCTTGTATATTGGTTTATTATTACAAATATTCAGTACAAGGGCAGCACAGTGGCTAAATGGTTAGCCCTTCCACCTGGCAGTACTAGAATCGTTGGTCGAATCCCAACCACAGCACCACCTGCCTGGAGTTTGTATGTTCTCCCTGTGCCTGCGTGGGTTTCCTCCGTGTACTCCGGTTTCCTTCCACACTCCAAAGACATGCTGGTAGGTTAATTGGATCCTGTCTAAATTGGCCCTAGAATGTGTATGTATGAATGTGAGATAGGGACCTTAGATTGTAAGCCCCTTGAGGGATAGGGACTGATGTAAATGTACAATATATATGTAAAGCTCTGTGTAAATTGACGGTGCTATAGAAGTACCTGAAATAAAATAAATAAGTACGTGGTATCCAGATTGTTACAACTCACAGTTCCTCTGTTTTGTTTTATCTGCAGGCTGGAGGACCTACGGGACAGTTTCCAGCAGGAAGTTCATCAACCAATCCTTTCTTATAGCCTTAGACTAACACAGGAGCTTACCAAGCATCACCATACATGTACTGCCTCTTGCACTGTTTGTCTTGTTTAACCAGCGTAAGCTTTAAACACAGGGAGTTCTTTCAGAGCCTGCAATTATATTTTTTTTTTTCTCTATTTAAACAAAAAAAAAAAAGGAAGAAAAACAAGGTAAAATGTGCAATTGGAAAGCGTTTCTTTCTCATTCAGCCCTTTGGCTGTCCACAGGCTTGTTAGCAAAATATTGCAGAGCACTCTGTTAGCAACTCAATGGTCAACCAAAGGGTTAACTGAAGGGCGTATCATGTATAATAAATTTGGTAAGTTATTGCAGATTCCATATTCATTAAGCTGCAGTACTGTACATATATATTTTTTTTCTTAGGGTCTAGATAATTGTTCATATCAGTATTTCTAACTCATAACACTTTATGCTATGTGGGAGTGAAGAAACCAAGCGGTGTTAAATATCCGCTTTGTTACTTAAGAGCAAACTTTCTTAATTTTAGCAATTTGGCTTGAAGGGATGTGAAATTAAATGTTAAATAAAAAAATATATAAATTTTATTCATTTAAAATTGAATTGAAAAATAAACCCGACAAACTTTTATTTTGCCCATTCAAAGCTACCCATTTCTATACGCCTAAATTCTCCATACTGAAGACTGAAGATGTCTGCATAATAAAGCTAATGTTTTGCTACAGTTTGCAGGTGAAAAATATTAAAATAATAGAAAAAGTTTAGTTGTGGTGTTTCTCTCCTTGCTTTACTCGGTCACAGGACAATTTCTTAAAGTAGACTTGACCTCAAAAAGCCAAAATTGCTTTTTATAGAGAACATATAGAAATGTATATTGTACTAAAGTTCCCTGAAAAATTTACCTTTTGGTCTGGAATTGCTGCTGAAAAATGGCACTGTACTTTTGGTATGTGAATGCACTTAGGCACTCCTGTGTGTACAGTCTCATAGATGTTTGTCTGCAGTGTGGGACCTAAGGCACTGTGCCTCAGTCTGCTAGTCTCACCAGAGTGAGATATGGTGATGTTGGTACTGTTGCTCACTATTCTCTTTGCTGCAGAACCAGGCTTGGCAAGTCAGTTTTGGGGAAAAGATCAGCTGCAGAGAGACCATAGGCAATGCTGGTGACTACTTATTTTTCCCCTGCCTGCCCTTTTTGGGTTCAACAAACCATTATCTGTAGAGAAGTTTCCATCCTCCATGACTTTTAATTTAAAGCAAATTCCAGTTTACAATTTGCAGATTAACATTTCTCATTGTGGTGCCCCATGGGGAGGAAAGCTATGTTCCCCTTTACAGCTAAGAGAATGCAGGTACTAAGCGTGAGACTGCTCTGTCACTGACACCTTCTGGTCTTTATTAATTATCAGTAAACAATTAGCATAGCTCCTGAGCACGTGATCACAATGTCATGGAATTTGTATGTTTGTTATCTTAGTGTAAATATCTAGAAAGGTTAATAGGAGCTTTGAAGTATCCTGAAACCTCTGTGCATTGAATCCCTCCTGCAGCCTCATAGCTGCTCATTGCTATGCTGGGAGGCTTGTTGGAGGTAAAGCTGTGCATGAGGATCTGCATTGCAAGCATCCCTCTGCTTTTACTTCATCCATTCTGTGTTTATGTGCTTTCTCCATCTCTTCTACTGCATTTTGATCATTGCCAGTCATCAGGATCTGACACAAACAAGAAAATCTCTGCCACTGTCAAGAAGGCTGCCTTCACACAGAGGCATAGTGCAGAACACGGCATAGTAAATCAGTAATGAGGAAAATATCAGCTGCAAGAAGCCTACAAGCATACTGATGACTGGTTCTTTGTGGGTTTTCTTGACTTTTTGGGGGGCACAGCTTCCATAAATCAAGTCCTCTTTAGTCAATACAAAATGTTTCACAAAGAGGTTTTGGTGTGTTTTTTTTTTCAAAATTGTAATGAAAAATGTGTTATTTCTGTCTCACATAAGCTCTAGCTAGCATTCATTAGTGAGTTTATACAAGCACATTATTGTAGGTTTATAATATGGAATGGAAGGCTAAAACAACATGGCTGACTAAAAAAGCCTATCACAAAATTCAAATCTCTTACAGATCTAATTGTACCCTAAGTTATTAAATATATTTTAAACAAAATGTTATGTCAGGCAGACAGGATTTTTGTTTTTTGATAATGAAAATAAGCTATTAGTAGCCTGTTTTTTTCATATCTGACTTGTGACTGTTTAAACAACAAATATTCTTGCCAGACAAAGAATAATATTATTATTATTATACAGTATTTATAAAGCGCCAATAGTTCGCTCAGCGCTGTACATTACAAAGGGGGACAGAACATGTGACAGAACAATACAATGCAAAACATGAGGGGATCGAGGGCCCTGCTCTTTCGAGCTTACAATCTAGGAACAATGATTACATTCCCCATTAATACTTGGATCCCTTTAACACCATGGTGGCCTAAGTGGGCACATTATTTTAGTCCTGTTTATCTTGTGTGTCCTTATATACAGTTATTTAAAAAAAATAAATAAATAAAAATTAGCAGTCCAGCATCACTAACCAGATCAATCACTGTTTGTTTTTGGTGTAAATTATATTTCTACATGGCAAATAATTTACTAGTAGGTTTAGTAGAGTAATAGAAAACCAACAGACCCAACAGTCATGACATGCATGCTGCTGATTCTGTGTAATTGAATCATTATTGAAAGGAGCACGTTCTAAATGATAGCAGTATTGAGTTCAATTAGCGAGGTAATTCAGTCTGTGAAAAAACAGGTGGCCCTTATTTAAGAATGAAGGCAGCAAATGTTGTATATGTTGGGTATAGTGCATTTCTCTCTGAAAATCTGAATAAAATGGGTCGTTCCAGACATTGTTCAGAACAGCGTACTTTGATTAAAAAGTTGATTGGAGAGGGAAAAACATAAAGAAGTGATAGGCTGCTCAGCTAAAATGATCTCAAATGCTTTAAAATGGCAACCAAAACCAGAAAGATGTAGAAGAAAACGGGAAACTACCATTCAAATGGATCGAAGAATAGTCAAAATGGCGAGGACTCAGCCAACAATCAGCTCCAGGAAGATCAACGAAGGTCTAAAGATACCTGTGAGTACTGTAGCAATTAGAAGACGCTTATATGAAGCCAAGTTTGTCAGATGACCCCCAAACACTGAATTCAAACCAAAGTACATTGTGAAGACAGTGAAGCATGGTGGCGCAAGCATGATATGGGTATGTTTCTCATACTACAGTGTTGGGCCTAGTTATCTAATATCATGGATCAGTTTGAATACATCAGAATACTTGAGGTCATGTTGCCTTATGCCGAAGAGGAAATTCCCTTGAAATGGGTGTTCCAACAAGACAACGACCCCAAACACACCAGTAAATGTGCAACATCTTGGTTATAGACCAACAAGAATAACGTTATACTGTAGAGTGGCCAGCCCAATCCCTGGACCTTAATCCAATAGAAAATTTATGGGGTGACATCAAAATGCTGTTTCTGAGGTAAAACCTGTTCACAGGTGCCAGAATTTGGTCAACTCCATGCAACACCGAGGTGAAGAAGTTCTCAGAAACAGTCGTTATGCGACTAAATATTAGTTCAGGGATTCACAGGGAAGCTAAATCTTCAAGCATTTTTCAGTTTATACAGTAAATGTTTGTGTTTGTAACACTGCTATTTTTTTGAACAACCTAGTATTCCTTTTTTCTTCACTTTCTGTAAAGTAATAACAAATTTGAAACATTTTTCTTCATGTTTTGAATTGGAATAGACTGTGCAGTGTTCCCAATTCATTTGCATGCAAACAAATAAAAAGCTATTCTAAGGATTTTGAGCTTTTACTCACTTTTTTAAACACACTGCTACTATTTTGAACACAACTGTAAATTATTTTTTTTTTTTTGCTGGAGACTGCTTTCAGGTTTTGATTATTTTTCTGGATCACTAGTCCAAACTCTTAGAAATACTTTTTCCTAAACATCTAAATTAACTAGCTCCCGACCGCAGACAGCCGAATGACTGCTGCACTGCGGCCGGCCAGTTCTGGGTGGACGTCATATGATGTCCTCCCAGAACGGCTCTCCTGCGCGCACCCGGCGATCTCCGTGATCGCTGTGTCCTACGGACACAGCTGATCACGTGATGTGGTAAAAGGCCAATCACAGCGGCCTTTTACCACGTGATCAGCGGTGTCCAATGACACGCTGATCACAGGGAAATGCAAGTGCCGGTTCTCGGCTGCACTTTTCTCACGCTGTCATATCGTGAGGAAACTACTGCCGAGAACCGGCAGTTGTCAGAGCGGGGATCGGCACCGATCATCAGGGGACTGATGATCGGTGCCCAGCAGTGCCACCCGCAAGTTCCGCCCATCTGTGCCCAGCAGTGCGCCCACTAGCTCCGCCCCCACCTGTGCCCAGCAGTGCACCCACCTGTGCCACTCTGCAGTGCCACCTACCTGTGCCCAGCAGTGCCACCCACCTGTGCTGCCCACCAGTGCAGCCCAGCAGTGCTGCCAGTCAGTGCCCAGGGGTTGTGCCAGTCAGATGCTGCCAGTCAGTGCCCAGCAGTGATGCCAGTCAGTGCCGTCTATCAGTACCCATCATCAGTGTCACCTATCAGTGCTGCATATTAGTGCCGCCTATCCGTGACACCTCATTAGTGCTGTCTATCAGTGCCACCTATCCGTGCCACCTCATTAGTACTGCCTATCAGTGCCCTTTAGTGCTGCCTATCAGTGCTGCCTCATCAACGCACATCAGTGAAGGAGAAAAATTACCTGTTTGAAAAATTTTATAATCGAAACAAAGAAACTTTCTTTTTTTTTCAAATTTTTTGCACTTTTTTTATTTATAGCGCAAAAAGTAAAGTGCCCAGTGGCGATTAAATACCACCAAAAGAAAGCTCTATTTGTGAGAAAAAAATGATCAATATTTCATATGGGTACAATGTTGCATGACCGCGCAATTGTCAATCAAAGTGCGGCAGCGCTGAAAGCTGAAAATTGGCCTGGTAAAGAAGGGGGTATAAGTGCCTGGTAGGCAAGTGGTTAATGATGCAACAGTTTCTGGGAATTGCCACCATCCATACAAGAAGTGCTGATTTATTCTGTAAAGAGTGGTAAAAACTTCTGAGCCTATAGTGGACACAGAACCAGCCTCTGTGTCACAGCTGGATAATGGTTTTTCCACGATTAGTATTTAACCACTTGCCTACAGGACACTTTTACCCCCTTCCTGCCCAAGCCAATTTTCAGATTCAGCATTGTTGCACTTTGACAATTGTGCGACCAACACTTCCCAAACTAAAGTTTTATAATGTTTTGATTCAAATAGAGCTATCTTTTCGTGGTATTTAATTATCATTGGAGTTTTTTTATTTTTTGATAAAAAAAAAGTTTTTCTTAGTTTCTGTTATAGTTTTGTAAATGTTATATTTCTCCACTGATGTGCACTGATAGGCGGCACTGATGAGGCCCCGATAGCCCCGATAGCCAGGGCATTGATGATCAGTGCCCTAATGATAAGTGTAGATGTCCCCTCTGAGAAATGCCGCTTACCGGCTCTCCTCTCCTCGCACTGTTAGTGTGAGGAGAGGACTGCTGATAATCAGCATTTCCTATTTACACTGTGATCAGGTGTGATTGGACACAGCTGATCACATGGGAAAAGGCAGCTCTGATTGGCCCTTTACCTGGATTTGTGATCAGCTGTATCCAAAGGAAGGGGGCTTTGTTCTGGAAGGACATCCATGGACCCCCTCTCAGAACTAGCCAACCACTCTGTAACCATATTTTGGCTATAGCGCGGTCGGAAACTGGTTAATAATTATTTTAGTTCTTTTTGAAAGTGACCATGCGTGTCCTTTGAAACTTTGGTATTTCCTTTGTAACAAGATTTTTGCACAGAAAATTCACAAATCTTTCTTTTTGGGTTGCTGGTGACCTTTGCATTATTCTTGGATATTAAATGGCACCACCTGCTTGGACATTTCAAGCATCCACATTGGTCAGGCGCTGTATAGAATGCAGCCTAAAAAAATGAAAGGTATTTACCTTGTTAGCAGAACCTGCACTTTAGTAGCATAAGGTGCAGAATCTGCAGAACTGTCCTTTCACCACTTGGTCAGCCATCAGCATGCAAATTTTTAAAGGCTTATAGTTAGTATTTCTTTGGAATGATTATTGGTGTGTCTGATTATAGGCTTTGTTTTTACCTTGTTAACAAAAGTTTTTTTTTTTCCTTAAAAAAAAAAAATTATATCTAAAATATAATATTAAGTGGAGAGGAATGTTGAGAGCAAGCTGATCTATTTCATGTTATCTGTTTGTAGATAAAGAGACCACACAGAGTAATCCATTGATATCTCTAACTTGCTACATTGAAAGGCTCCTTATATATAGTCTAAACAAATCCCATATCCGGTTACTATAAGATGGGCAAGCCTTTCGTCCGCACGAAAAATCGGCCGATATTCATGCCGTTAGTGGGGCCAGCCCATTGGCCAGTTTTCGTGGATCTTCACATTCATTTTTATCGGTCATGCTGGAAAAACAGCTGTTTTTCGTGGACATTGGTGGCAGCATCGGCATTTTTTCGTTTATCGGCCCGGCTATGGCCTGCCTTATAAACTAAACAAAAAAAAAAAAAACACCTTCCTTTACCTTCCCCATCTTAGACAAAACCACCTTCATTTATATCTCACAAGCTCCCCCTCCCAGACCCTGCAGATGGCCATGGGAGGGTTTCAACAGCAGAGGCAATGTCGTCCGTACAGAAGGTAGTGGGCGGGACTAGATGTGGTCAAGTGCTGATTGACAAGCTTTAGGCTTGTGACTAAGTAGTGACAATGCTGACACCACCCCTCACACCCCTTGCTGCATTTTATCTGGCTGTAGTGCAAGCAGACACAACCTATATTCAGGAGCAGTGCAGCATCTTTGCCAAACCATCACAGGAAGCGGCATTAGATGGACTTCATGGCCAGGTTCAGTAGGTTTCTGTGAGCCTTTGCAGAGGGGCTAAGAGAAAACTAAACGTGCTTATGAATTTATAGTAAAGTGCTGTAGCATCTTTTTTTTTTTTTTAAATAAATGAAGGACCATTGCTCTCCTTTAAAAAAAAAAAAAAAAAAAAAAAAAAAAAAAATGTTCTGTCTAAAGATAAGGTTGGAGCTATATCATTCAGACTCTTGCTTCAGTGTGTACAACCGACCACTGACCTGTACCAAAAACTTTAATTTATCTGCTTACTTGTAATGAGTTAGTGACTGAAAATGTGAATGCCAGAAGATCAACAGAAGGGTAATTAGCATAGTTCTTGCTTGACAGGATTACTTTAAGTGCTTCACCAAAAGTCCATATGGATTTGATAGAAAAGACAAGTCAATTAATATGGTAGGCATAATATTTAATAAGAATATAAAGATACAGTATGTATAGGGTTTGTGACATTATGTATATCATAGTGGTAAACTGAACATATGCCTACAAATGAGCCACTATTGGCCCCAACAAAAAGCAGCATACACCTGTAAACCAAACAAAAAAGAAAACCCCAAACATTTTGGTGAAAAAAAAATTATATTTGACATCACTGTAATCCAGAATTCTTCTTTTCATAAAGGTAGTCTATTACATTGTTATCTAGTCTATGTAAAGGCACAATGAAAAAAAAAACACTAATACATTGCTAGAATGCATGCATTTTTCTCCATGTTTATCCCTTAAGGGCCAATTCACACCAGTGTGTTGAGCTGCGTTTTTAGTGCAGCTGTAAAACGCAGATCAATGGAAGGACATTGGAAATAAAATATCCTATTCATGCCATAATTCATTGACCTGTGTTGTGCTAAAATCCAGCAGGCATGCATTTTAGTTCAAAACAACGGATGTAAGCAGATGTCAATACAATTCACAGGATATCCTGTGACAATGCAGTACGCGTTAAAGTATGCCATAATGCATGTCAGAGGATGTCAGCGCTCGAGTAAAATGGATGACAATGTACACCCATCTTCCATATATTTTAGCACACACCAGTATGAATTGGTCCTCAAACTTGCTGCAAGTAGATAATAAAACATATGTATATATAACTGCTCATGTTCCTGAAATCTAGTAACTTCTGACATAACACCGCTCTGAATTTCAAACCACGTGGTGTTGGCCCTGCCTTGATTGCAATGAACAAAGACCTCTCCTCATCCCCATATTCCCCCTTTGTGCACAGACAAGGTTGTTACCAGTTTTACAAGGTTCCTGGCAAAATCATTGGGTAATTTTGGAATTGCCAAACAGATATAACAAAACACTGATGTGATTAGCAGACCAAAATGGAGCAAATTAGATTGTACATACACTTTAAAGCATCAGTCCACAAAATCAGATCTCTAATGTATGGACACTGGCAGTTTAATTCACCTACTGCATTATTACATCAAGGATTCCAGTAGCAAGATGTCTCCATTGGGGCAATGTTTGGCCCTTCCTGCTAAAATGGATATAAGTGAAAGCCTTACGCTTCTTGATGCATTCCTTGTGTTATGTAGAGAAAAAAAAAATGATGAAAACACCAAGAAGGAGCCAGAGACTATCCTAATGTTCATGGCATCTGGAAATTTCACAAACAGTTTCTAGGAGATTATAGCAACTGAAGCAGTTATACCTCTGTCGTAATGCTCCTGTCTCTGGGTTAGTTTCTTCGTAGGTTAATCTTTGCAAGCTTTTCACTTAGCCATTACAGCTGGGTCTCCTCTTTCGCTCTTGTGTCCCGGCTGTTCTTCGGCCCCTTGCACCGCAGTGCTACTATAATATACAGGCTCCGCACAAAGAATATTCCCGCAATGACTACAAAGTAACTTCCATAAACCAAAAACTGGGGAGAAAAAAAAAACACATTAGTTACAGCAGAATTCTAGTGTAAGGTACCATGCAAAGAAGACTACTCCTAAACACCTGCTACTTTTGAAGGCTGGGATAATCAGAATTCTTTGAAAAGGTACATAAGATGAGGTGTGAGCAAACCAAGATTATTTCAGCTAAATTGGCTTTATTTTACCCATTAATACAGCACTGACATTGCCAGGAAAAATTGTTTTTTTTTCTCCTTTGCTGTGAAATACAGTACAATACAGGACAGAGGAGCTACCTCCAGATGACTGGACCTTAGCAAAACAAGAAAACTACAGGAACATCCCCTATATAACTCCTCCAACACCCAGAAAGCCTGTTTTGTAGGTAATAGGGTGATCAGAAAGAATAGAGGGGGGGCTATATCTTTTGCTGTACTCCAAGAATAGATTTTTACAGGTAAGTCCAAATTCCTTTTTTTTTTTTTTTTTTTTTTTCCAATCATACAGTACAGGACATAAGACTTTAGTCTTAATCATGGGATGTCCAAAGCAGTCCGACAGAGGGGTGGGCAATACCGCAAACACATGCTTACAGACTAAGGTAACAAATAGGTCAAGAAGGGCTTTATATACTCAGCAACTTAATGTACCTTACACTTGAGCTGGTATTAGACTGATGAGACAAAATGGCATCTGAGACAAAAAGTTAAACAGAGCACACCACATCCAGACAAAAGAGATATACTACCAGAGGATATACAAGGCACAACTATATCCTGATAAGGTCAAGGTTGAAGAAACACCTTAGAAAGTATAGTGGTGCAGGCCTCAAAACAACCTAATCCTTAATGAAAAACAAAAATTGTTCCTTACCAGTAAGGGGCTCCAACTTGGAACTTGAAATAGTGATGGAGGTAAAAAGGCAACCACACAAGTAAGGCTAGATTGAGAAAAATCCCTGATGAAATTCAAGAACTGTCCCAAGGAGCAGATGGAAAACCAGGTTGAGCTCCCATGGATTCACTGGGAAAAATAAAGGAGAAATTGAAAGCAATATTCTATACAAAGCTTCCCTTTCCCCCACAAGAAAAAAAAAAAGTCAAGGGAAAGCAACCCGAAAAAGGAAAGAATGCTGAGATTAGACCGTAGTCCTCAGAGAAGGTCCACCTGCTAATTTACTACATCTGGGACAAGTGAGGTTGACAGGACTGGAACCAGATTCTTGCCTGGGAGAGAAGCAGATCTGCTTCCCTGTAATTTATGAGATGAGATTTCTACATAGTAGTTGATGGAAGCCACTGCCATGGCCACTAGCACAGGGCAGGTTCCACCTTGGCCATAATCCCAGAGATAAAAAACTGCATCAGTGCAGTATGAAGGTCTACAAGTCTAATGGAGAAAGAAACTGAAACCCCTTCCTGATGCTCGAGGACACAACACGTGAATCCCACTGTCTGAAAGACAACTGAGTGAGATGACTCTTCAAGTCCCTCATACAAAGGAGGAGCAAAGATTGCCTGTTCCAACAGCCCACAATAAAATTAGCAATAGCAAAAAATATAACTCACAGATCAACTGCACACCAAAGGGATTAATTGATCATCATGGGCAAGAACAGTAGGCAAGTTAAACAGTACTAGTAAGGTTACCTGGGGCAACACCTGTGGAGTAGGAGGGGTAGAGGCTGTTTGTGACCACATCACCTCTGGCTGCTACACAACAGTAAGGGAGACAGGATCTGCAAGGGATGTTAAAGGCTGAAGAACCCTAGGCTGTCATACAAAATAATGTGTAAGTGCAACTGTACGCACAAGGGGAACTCGCTGTCCCATTGCAGAGCAGGAGGAGCAGCTGCCATTTTATGTAGGCAACCAACAGAGTGCGAGTGAGACATTACCAGCAATGGCTATTTGTGGATCAACTGTGAAGTTAAAAGTGATTGTAAAGACATTTTTTTTTCTTTTTAAATAACAAACATGGTATACTTGCTCTGTATAAATGTTTTGCGGAGAGCAGCCTCGATCCTCCTCTTCTCAGGTTCTCTGCCGGTGCTCCTGGTCCCTCCTTCCTGCCAAGTGCCCCACACCAAGCAGCTTGCTATGGGGGCACCCAAGCAGGCTTGCTTCTGAGCTGCTGCTCTGTGTGTCCATTCACACACAGCTGTTGCTCAGCCCCACCCCTGCATTCTCCTCATTGGCTCACTGGCTATGATTAACAGTAGAGGGAACCAGTGGCTCCTGCTGTTGTCTCAGCCAATGAGGAAGGAGAGACCCAGGACAGCCAAGGTTCTTGTGTACCTCACTCGATCAAGATGGGGCTCAGGTAGGTATAAGCAAGGGCTTGGGGGGGACTGCTGCGCACAGGTTTTTTTTTCTTTTCACTTTCATGCATAGAATGCATGAAGGTAAAAAACCTTGAGCCTTTATAACTACTTTAAAGGCTAGCCATGCTGAGTTCATCATAGGCCACTGTGCATACAGTATACCCATGAGACAAAACCACCAGGGTCAGAGACTTACTGCAGAGTAGCAGGGGACAGTAGTCATGTGATGGTAAACAAGTGAGATGGGACCACCAAGGGATACTCACACACCACTACAGAAGCAGCATAATGGTGAAAGGCTGTGCATGACCAGATCATCAAAGGCCACTGTGCAAACAGTACACAGAGAAATGTTACTGGCAAGGCTTATGCACAGACCTACTGCACAGCCATAGAGTTTAATGAATGTGAAGCTTAGGTCTCTACAAGCTGCAGTACAGGCAGTATGTAGTAAGATATTATCATCAAGAGGTACACACAGACACCCTGCTGACCAGAATTGGTCAATGGCTGCATGACAAGGTCACTGTAGTCTGCTGTACTAACAGTAACCAGTGGATATTACCAAAAGGGATGCTCATAGAGTGATTTATCACCATAGGGGTTACTGCAGGGTGGGAGGGATTAATGGCTATTAGTGACTGTAGACCATCATGCAACACGATACAAGTGAGACAATCCCAGAAACATTTCCCCATAGATTGCAAAGCAGAGAGGGGTAAGGGCCATTTGTGACTAGGACACTATAGGCCACCATACAACAGTACGTAAGGTAATACCAGCAAGGATTACTCTTGGACAGACCACCCTCCTGGTGGGTATACCAAAAAGGGGTCTTCAGGGATATGGCCACGTGACTGGTAAACCACAGCCCTGGACTTGTATAGCACCCTGCAGAAAACACAACACAACATGATGCACCATGTGGACACCATGTCTCCTTTCAGTATCCAGTGCCCAAATCAAATTTACAGACTGGACCCATCATCTTCATACGGTCTACCAAGGTTCAGTCAAGGAGTCAAGTGATCCAGAGAGCTGCAGTGGCTATGAGCAGCTAGGACTTTTGATAGAAGAATCTTTGAAACGAAAGAAAAAAAACACCTCAGCAGAGAGAGGTCATCCATCACCTAAGGCCACTAGCAAAAAATGAGGCTTGCTGGAAGTGCCCAAGCACATATAAGAATGTCCCTGCAGCTTTCTCATTTTTTTGGGGTTTTTTTTTTTGTACAATCATCTAAAAATAATTGTATAAAATGCATAGTTTAGATTAAAGTCCTGTGTCTTGTAGTGTACAACTAAAAAATATTGACCCTTTCTTAACAGTGACTGAGCTTACAGTGAGCCAATAAGGACAGGGAAGGGGCGGGGCGGAGCTGCGTTTCTGGATGTGAATGGACAAGCAGAGCTGTGGCTCAGTAGTGCGCCTGCTTGGGTGTCCTCATAGCAAGCTGTTTGCTATGGGAGCAACCGACAGAGAGGGGCCAGAAGCACCAGCGGGGGACCCGAGAAGAGGAGGATCCGGGCTGCCCTGTGCAAAACCATTGCACAGAGCAGGTTGTATAACATGTTAGGTTTTTTTAAGAAAAAAAACAAGACTTTAATATTACTTTAAATCCTATAAACATTCAAGTTTATACAGCTTGGACTTGGACAATATGCATAAAAAATGATGATTTGGTTAAAATACTTGATTAATATTTGTGCACACAGTGTATTTTGGGTTGCGAAAGGAAACCAGAGCACTTGCAGGAATGCTGCACAAACATCATAGGGGTAATACGACTGCAAGACACAGGCACTAAGGTCATACAGATAATAAATCCTTAGCTAAGCTTAGTGTGCAATTACTATTGGAATATGTGCCCGTGAAAGGATCACCCCCTTTTTCAAAAAATGTTTCCTCATACCTTGAAAGGTTTCTCTGTCATTCAACACAAGTTTTTTGCTCACTAAGGAAAAGTCATTTATGACCTGCCAAAGACACAGATTGTTGGTACAGTACCAGTTTTATGGCCCTTTAACCCTAGGAACTGCATGTGAATTGCACAGGAATGTTGTGCGGTTCCTGTGCGATTGACATGCAGTTCTATGCAGTGCAATTTCAGCCCCATTTATTTGGAATAGGCTGAAACCATGCCCTGCCGAAGGTAGTTTTTGAAACACATGGCAACCGGATTGCATAATGCTTTTGTACCATGTAATCCAGTGCAGGTCGATGTGGGTAAATGCACCGCGTCTTCGACCTGCATTTAGGTTGTCGTTAATTTTGCACTGACTCCCGCAACAGATCTCAAGGGCAGTGTGACTAGGATCCACTGCGGGAAGTCGTACGCCAACGCAGCTTTCTCGCTCTGCATTCTTGTGTGACAGGGCCCTTGGCCCTATACTGATCAGAAATGCTATTTCCTGTAGAAAGTCAATCAAGAATACAATTTTCATCCCACAATTTGTAGTTACAATGGAAGCATATATTTATATATAGGAATTCAGGGGGTCTGAATATGAACAAGGCCTATACCTTGTTGATATTCCTACAATGAAAAGAATAGATCCAGTCTACAGAGTATCTGGCTGACCCACAACCACACAGCTCCTGGAAAATTAAAAAGAACTGCTCAATTCTTATTTGCATTGCAGGTTAAGGCTGCCTGTAGATATTAGAGGGTGGTTGGCTACATAGGCACAATCCAGTCACCATCAGGACAGTAGTCTAATAGGCACTACATAACCATTTGAAGGTGGATCTGCCAATCTACCACGAATATGTAAATTGAGAGGATGATGGAAGTGAATGGTGCAGATTCTGCTGGTGCCGCTCATTTTTCAGGGGAACAGATTTTCTAAACTCACCTGACAGTGGCCAACCAGTGACATCAAGAAAGACTGATGGGCATGACTTTGTCCCCTGAGCAAACTAAAAAGCTATCGCATTGTGTGTCTATCATCTTATATCTATGGGGAGCTTTAAATGTTGTTGTGGTTTTGCAGCCAGATGCAAGAGAAGCTGGATGGCTTTGCATGTCTTTTGCCCAGTAGCCATTCTATACACAGAACAAAAACCACACATGCCACAAAGGTTGTATGCATGACGTGATAATGTCATTTCCAGTGAACACTGTCCCATTAGCACCAACCATCTTGTTATTGCTATGACTATAACCATGAGAAAGTGCAAAATGCTATTTTTCTTTATAAACCAAGACTGCAGTACATTGAACAGTCCACCAATCATGAGCCAGCAAGAAAGGGGACATTGCTGGATGTTAATCCAACCAGTCACTGGTACAAGAGTGCCTCTAAATATGAATCTACATTTCAGTATGAGACATTCGATACTACAAACTCATCTGTTCATTTTGTTTAGTGTATTATTGTTTCTCTTTGCCTGTAGTGTCTTTCCCTGAATTTAGTGCCATTACCTGAGTGACAATATCTAGGCCTAGGCCTCTGCTGTCCACTACGATGATGGTCAAGATGGTCTGAAGAGCCAGAGCAACAAAAGTATTCATGCCAAACATGAGCGCATAGCGTTCCATGGTTAGGTTTACAGCAATCTGGAACCTGCATGTAAACAAATTGATGTTATTGTGGATATTATTTATTACAGATACTTACTTTCTGGGTAAATATAATTCTAAAGGCGCTACTGACATGAAATTTTCACCACATGTCGGCAACAAGCCATGCAATCCACACATACAAAGAAACCAAAACAAATAAGTTCAGTAATTAAGTTATTTGTAATAAAATGGAATGACACAGGGAAAAATATTGAACATGCTAACTGAAATTTATTTAGTACTTTGTATAAAATCCTTTATTGATAATTACAGTTTCAAGACTCCTCCTGTATGGAGAAACTAGTCGCATGCATTGCTCAAGTGCGATTGTGGCCCATTCTTCCACACAAACAAATCTTGAAGGTTCCATGGGACTCTTCTTTGAACTCTGATCTTTAGCTCTTTCCATAGATTTTTCAGGTGATTTGCTGGGCCATTCTAGCAGCTTTATTTTATTTCTTTGAACCAATTGAGAGTTTCCTTGGCTTTGTGTTTGGGATCATTGTCTTGTTGAAAATGTCCAACCTTGTTTCATCTTCATCATCCTAGTAGATGGCAGCATATTTTTTATCAGGAATGTCTTGGTACATTTTTCCATTCATCCTTCCTTCAATGAAAGTAAGTTTGCCAGTACCATATGCTGAAAAACAGCCCCACACCATGATGTTCCCACCTCCAAACTTCACTGTTGGTATGGTGTTTTTGGGGTGATGTGCAGTGCCATTTGATCTCCATGTATTATGGCATCCAAAGAGCTTAATTTTAGTCTCATCTGACCAGACTATATTCTCCCATTATTTCACAGGCTTGTCTAAATGTCCAGCAAACTTTAAATCGAGCTTCAACATGCTTTTTCTTCAGCAATAGAGTCTTGCATGGTGAATGTGCATACAGGTCATGGAGGTTGAGTGCATTACTTATTGTTTTCTTTGAAACAATTGTACCTGATAATTCCAGGTCTTTCTGAAGCTCTCCACAAGTGGTCCTTAGCTCTTGGACAACTCTTCTGATAATTCTTTTCACTCCTCTGTCAGAAATCTTGCAAGGAGCACCTGGTTGTAGCCGGTTTATCGTGATATTATGTTCTTTCCATTGCTGGATTATGGCCCCAATAGTGTTCACTGGAACATTCAGAAGTTTAGAAATCCTTCTGTAACCAATGCCATCAGTATGTTTTGCAACAATAAGGTTGTGAAGGTCTTGAGAGAGCTCTTTGCTTTTACCCATCATGAGATTTTTCTTGTGTGACACCTTGGTAATGAGAAACCTTTTTTATAGAAAAAACCAAGAGAAAAGAAAATAGGCTGCACACCTAAAAGGCTAACCTCAAAGCATATTTTTTGTAAATGGCATATACAGTAAAAACATTGCATCAGAGACCTAGTGTGCACATCCCATAATGAGGACCCCCCCACCCCCAGCATGAAAGGACCTCCCAACCCAGACACAGAGGGATAGTAAGGGTGTCCCCTGGGTACAAACCACGTCTGTACCTCCCCGATGGGCACCAGCTAACTGCCCCCCCAAGGAAAAAGCCCTCCACCACACCCACCCCTAACCCTCCCAGAATCCCCAACCTCCCCAAAAGCAAAACAGAAACAAGAACAAAAACAGAACAAAATATGGGAAATCCCCCAAGAGAGAATCTCTCAAAGTGGCCTAAAGCTCCTCCCACAATTACCCCTCTCAAGAAGAACCCACCCGTCCAACCACCCCCCTCCCCCTAGGGAGGAGAGAAAGGTGCTGAAGTGTAACACTGGCCCACAGACACCCCCCAGACCCCGCTATGATGTCTCCCACACCTACACACCGATAGGGCCAAAGGTGATCCCTATGCAAAAGCAGACTATAATATAAGCAACCTCAATACATCAAGGTATAGTAAACCAGACAGTCATAAAATCATATATATGTGTGTGTAGGGCCACAGCCTCAAAGTCCAATCCAACAGTCAATTGCATATGAAATTATAGTCTGGTATATCTGAACCAAACGAAAGGGCAAGTATATGATGTGATTCAATGACCACATTCTCCTTGTGCTACTACTATACCCACTGGCTGTATTGCATTCTACAGCATTTATGCTGATTGGACTGTAGGCAGAGCTTATCTCCATTACATTATGATCTCACTGCCTGGCCACCAGCTGGTCCACACTGCAGGCTGCTTGTGTTATCTTTGACTCTGTGCACATTCATGGTCCCAGTGGACTTTTGTCATTGGCAGTATCGGTGTGTAGGTGTGGGAGACATCATAGCAGGGTCTGGGGGGTAGGGGGGTCTCTGTGGGCCAGTGTTGCACCTCAGCTCCCTTATCTCCTCCCTCAGAGGTTTGGGGTGGTTGGACGGGTGGGTTCTTCTTGAGGGGGGTCATTGTGGGAGGAGCTTTGGACCACCTTGAGAGATCCTCTTTTGAGGGGTTTCCCATATTTTGTTTCTGTTTTTGTTATTGTTTCTGTTTTGGTTTTTGGGGAGGTTGGAGGTGTTGGCGGTTAGGTGGTTGGGAATTCTGGGAGGGTTAGGGTTGGTGGGGGGCTTTTTCCTTGGGGGGCGGTAGCTGGTGCCCATCAGGGAGTCACGGACACGGTTTCTATCCAGGGGACACCCTCACCATCGGTCTGTGTCTAGGTTGGGAGGTCCTTTCATGCCGGGGGTGGGGGGCCCTCATTATGGGATGTGCACACTAGGTCTCCGATGCAATGTTTTTACTGTATATGCCATTTACAATAAATATGCTTTGAGGTTAGCCTTTTAGTTGTGCAGCCTATTTTCTTTTCTCTTGGTTTTTGTTATATGTTTTAGGTAGCACCCTTCCAGAATACTCTGGTGGCACCTTAAATTTCCTTCCCTTGCTTGACTATTGTGGACTCCCCGACTTCCCAATTTCCCCCTTCCCCTCTTTTTCATACACCTTTTTATAGGCCATCAGTTGAGACTCAACCAGCTGATATTAATGTGCACTGACAAGGGGCAGGATTGCTTTCTAAATACTGATAGATTTCAGCTGGTGTCTTGGCTTCCCCTTTTTGCACCTCCCTTTCTTCATGTGTTCAAACATAACTTCATATCTCAGCATATTTGTTTTGGTTTCTTTGTATGTATGGATTGCATGGATTGTTACCGACAGGTGTTGAAAATTTCATGTCAATAGCACCTTTAGAAATATATTTACCTAGAAAAATTATGATGTGAGCTGCAAGAGTTGGGACAGTGATAATAATGGGGGATTTTAACTACCCGGAAAAAGACTGGAGTAATGGTACTGCAGGAACAGTTAAAGGGCAAAATTTTTTAAACCTACTACAGGACAATTTTATGGTACAGTTCATAGAGGCCCCAACTAGGAATGATGCTCTGCTGCACCTGGTAATCTCAAACCATGCAGAGCTTATTACGAATGTCCATATAAAAGAACATCTGGGTAGCAGTGACCATAACATGATTTCATTTATTGTTAGCTGTAAACAGCGAGCACATACGGGAAAAATAAAATTGCTCAATTTCAAGAGAGCTAATTTTCCTAGGCTGAAAGCTGCTCTCCAAGACTTAGACTATAAGGAAATATTGCCATCAATGAACACAGCACAGAAATGGGAGTCCTTTAAAAAGACTGTATGTGAACACACTGCAAAATATATTCCCATGGGCAACAAGTTTAAAAGGCTAAATATCAAACTTATGTGGCTTACGGCCAAAGTTAAAAAATCTATAGATAATAAGAAAAGAGCTTTTATTAAATATAAAAATTAAGGAATGCGATCATCATTTAAACATTACAAAGAATATAACAGAATATGCAAAAAGGATATAAGGCCGCAAAAATTGAAAACAAACGACAGATTGCAAAGATAGCAGGATAAACCCCCAAAAATTCTTCAAATATATTAATAGTAATGCGGTCCGGTCCGAGCATGTAGGCCCTTTATAAAATAATCTAGAGTGGGTGACTGGGGACAAAGAGAAGGCAAATTTATTAAATACCTTCTTCAGCTCTGTGTATACAAAGAAGCATGGGGGAGCTCTTGTCCATAATGGGTATGGTATTGACACCGCTCCAGATGATCCACATTGGCTTACAATTGATATCATCCAAAAATATTTAGACAGTATAAAGGTGAATAAAGCACCTGGACCGGATGGCATACACTCACAGGTCCTTAAAGAATTGAGCTCTGTCATTTCAAAGCCATTGTTTCTAATTTTTAGGGACTCTTTAATGACTGGCATAGTACCACTGGATTGGTGTAAGGGCAATGTGGTGCCAATATTTAAAAAGGGGTCAAAATCTTTACCAAGTAATTACAGACCTGTTAGTTTAACTTCTATAGTTGGGAAGATACTGGAGAGTTTAATAAAAGACCACATAGATGAGTTCTTGATGGAAAAAAATATTTTAAGCAACAGACAGCATGGATTCATGAAAGACAGAAGTTGTCAAACAAATCTGCAAAAGTGTTTGACACAGTTCTCCACACACGGCTAATGTGTAAGTTAAAGGCTTGGAAAAATCCATATGTAAATGGGTAGAAAACTGGCTAAAAGATCGTATTCAAAGAGTAGTGGTTAATGACTCATACTCTGAATGGTCTGGGGTCATCAGTGGTGTACCCCAAGGTTCAGTGTTGGGACCCTTACTTTTTAATATATTTATAAATGATATAGGGTCTGGGATTAAAAATCCCATTTCAGTCTTTGCAGATGACACCAAGCTGTGCAGTGGAATATCGTCCTTACAGGATGTCTCCAATTTACAAGCTGACCTCAGTGCACTGTTTAATTGGGCAACTATGCGACAAATGAGGTTTAATGTTGATAAATGTAAGGTTCTGCACTTGGGGGCTAAGAATATGCATGCATCATACATACTAGGGGGGGTACAACTGGGGGAATCAATGGTGGAGAAGGATCTGGGGGTTCAGGTAGATCACAAGCTTAATAATAGCATGCAATGCCAAGCTGTGGTTTCTAAAGTGAGCAAAATCCTCTCTTGTATTAAAAGAGGTATAGACTCCAGAGAGAGAGATATCATATTACCCCTGTGCAAATGATTAGTTAGACCTCATCTGGAATATGCAGTTCAGTTTTGGGCACCAATTCACAAAAAGAACATTGGGGAACCGGAGAAAGTACAGAGAAGGGCAACCAAACTGATAAGAGGCATGGAGGAGCTCAGCTATGAGGAAAGATTAGAGGAACTGAATTTATTCTCTCTTGAGAAGAGGAGATTAAGGGGGGGATATGATCAACATGTATAAATACATTAGTGGTTCATATCGGTTTAGAGCTATTCACCTTAAGGTCATCACAGAGGACAAGGGGCACTCTTTATGCCTGGAGCAACAAATATTTATTTTCTCCAAATATGGAGAAAATAAATTCAGTTCCTCTAATATTTCCTCATAGTTGAGCTCCTCCATGCCTCTTATCAGTTTGGTTGCCCTTCTCTGTACTTTCTCCAGTCCCCCAATATCCTTTTTGTAAACTGGTGCCCAAAACTGAACTGCATAGTCCAGATGAGGTGTTACTAATGATTTGTATCGGGGTAATATGATATCTCTCTCTCTGGAGTCTATACCTCTTTTAATACAAGAGAGGATTTTGCTTGCTTTAGAAACCGCAGCTTGGCATTGCATTATTAAGCTTGTGATCTACCAGAACCTCCAGATCCTTCTCCACCATTGATTCCCCCAGTTGTACCCCCCCCCCCCCCCCCCAGTATGTATGATGCATGCATATTCTTAGCCCCTAAGTGCATAACCTTACATTTATCAACATTTGCCACATAGTTGCCCAATTAAGTGCATTGAGGTTGGCTTGTAAGTTGGAGACATCCTGTAAGGACGATATTCCACTGCACAGCTTGGTGTCATCTGCAAAGACTGAAATGGGATTATTAATCTCAGACCTTATATCGTTTATAAATATATTAAAAAGTAAGGATCCCAACACTGAACCTTGGGGTACACCACTGACAACCCTAGACCATTCACAGTATGAATCATTAACCACTACACTCCGAATACAATTTTTTAGCTAGTTTTCGATCCATTTACATACAGATTTTTCCAAGCCTTTAATTTACTCATGAGCCGTGTGTGGAGAACTGTGTCAAACACTTTTGCAGTTTTCTAACCATTTACATACAGATTTTTCCAAGCCCGTAGGCTTTACCTTACACATTAGCCGTGTGTGGGGAACTGTGTCAAACGTTTTTGCAAAATCCAAGTATACCACGTCCACCGCCACCCCTCTGTCCAAGGTTTTGCCCCCCCTCATAAAAAGAAATCAGATTTGCATGATAACTTCTGTCTTTCATGAATCCATGCTGTCTGTTGTTGCTTAACCACTCCAAAAAAAAGCAAAACATTTAAAAAAAAAAAAGTTTTCATTTGTTTCTATTATAAAATTTTGCAAACAGGTAATTTTTCTGCTTCACTGATGTGCATTGATGAGGCTGCACTGATAGGCGGCACTGATAAGCGGCACTGATGAGGTGGCATGGATAGGCAGCACTGATGAGCTGACACTGATAATGCTAAACTGATATGCAGCAATGATGGGCACTGATGGGCAGCACTGATAGGTGGCACTGACTGGTGGCACTGACTGGCGGCACTGCTGGGCAGCACTGATGTGTGACACTGATGGGGGGCACTGCTGAGCACTGGTGAGTGGCACTGCTAGGCACTGATGGGCGCAGGTGGGTGGCACTGATGGGCACAGGTGGGTGGCTTTGGTGGGTGGCACTGCTGGGCACTGATCATCTGTGCCCTGATGATCAGTGGTGATCTGTTTTATGACAATTGCTGGTTATCAGCAGTACTTTCCTCACACTGTGACAGCGTAAGTAAAGTGCAGCTGATAACCGGCAACTGCATTTACCCGGACACAGCTGATCATGTGGTAAAAGGCCACTGTAATTGGCCTTTTACCACATCATGTGATCAGCCGTAGATCTCTGTGATCACATTCATACATACACATACTAGGGCCAATTTAGACAGGATCCAGTTAACCTACCAGCATGTCTTTGGAGTGTGGGAGGGAGCTGGAGTACCCGGAAGAAACCCACGCAGGCACAGGGAGAACATGCAAACTCCATGCAGGTGGTGCCGTGTCTGGGATTCAAATCAACTACCCTAGTACTGCCAGGCAGAAGTGTTAACCATTTAGCCACTGTGCTGCCCCATCAATATCAATACTTGTCTCCTTAAAACCTTAATTCTGAGAACTAAAGCAATATTCTAGGCCAGGGTTTCTCAACCAGGGTTCCGTGGGTCCCTAGGGTTCCTCCAGAGGTTGCTAGCAGTTCCTTGAGCAATGAGAAATTTCTCCCTCTCAGATCCCACTGACACCATTGATCTTTTTAGCTATTTGAAAGGGGGAATTCTTCCCCATAACCAAAAAGTGTAATAAGCATTCTTCCTACTGACCATCACACTAATGTATCATTAATGTAGATACAGTAATTTTTACCAGGGGTTCCTTGAGATTGGAAAGTTATTTCAGGGGTTTCTCTGTGTTGCAAAGGTTGAGAAAAGCTGCTCTAGACAGATATAAAGCTGTGTTTTTTAATAAAATATTCAATTTATTTTTTATGTCTAATACATAAAGGTTACTGAACATTACTTGATATCAGCCTCCTGCAACCCCCTATACATCAGCACACTAACCGAGAGAGGAAAGTCAGGACTGGAGACCAATCAGTTGTTCTGCATAAAAATATGAAAGAACCATGCTGGCAGGAGGGGTGAATAGAATGATGACCTCATCGATTTTCTTTTGCTTCTTTAAGATAGCCATACATGGATTAAAAAATTCATCTGGTTCAGCAGGGACTGGCCAAAATCGATCCATGCTTGGGCTAGCTGGTTGTACACAAGTTGATCTATCGACTGTCTTGTGTACAATCACTCACCCTCAATTTTGGGCTATATAATTTGTATATTGTTTTGGCAGTGGATCCCGATTTTGTTTTTTTGTTTTTATTATCTGAGCACCTGTGTACAATCAGCATGCCAGGCTTTTCCTAAACGATAAGTGCCTCCAGCTATAGCTGGCAACACTGATCATTATATTCTGCTGGCGGAGAAGATTCCTCATCGGCAGAACACAATAGCGCTGTAGGATTAATTCCCTCATCCACATAGGGATAGGGGAATCAGCACATTTTTTTTTTCCTTCAACCAGCTGTTTGAACAAAACAAATGTATAATGTATGGCCTGCCTTGCTCTCTAATTAACAGAGTGGTGCCAACAGTGTTCTTTTTAATTGTGACAAAGTGGTATCGTCCACCTGTTTGTGCGACAGGTGTTTATATGAAAGATAACATATTGGAAAGTGGGGAGCAATACATTAGCATTTTTTATGGATTTTCACAACTTTTGTATACAGAGGGGTAGATATTTATGTTCTCTTAGATTGTAAGCTCCAAGGAGCAGGGCCCTCCTAACCCTCTTGTATTGAACTGTACCGCTGTATTTATCTCCCTTTATATTTTAAAGTACTGAACAAATTGTTGGCCCTATATACTGTAGATCCTGTATTATAATAACAATATGATGTGTGTGTATAAAAAGTAAGATAAGCTGTACTACTCACGTGGCGATAGTGATCAGAAGCATGTAGGAGGACTTGAATATCAGGTAGCCGGCATAGCACATCCAGATGTTGGTGCTGTAGTCCATAAGAAATAGAGCCCCGGCATTGACAGCTGAGAAGATGGCCAGGGCTAGCTCTCCAGACAATTCCCAGTTCACTTTCACATAACCCACAGACAGAGAAGACAATGCACCTGTTGTAAGATCAGAACTTGCTGTTATTGCAGCCTGTAATAGTCATTACTGTTTTGTATTTTTGCACAAAATTCATGACAGGGTTTTATTTGCACACTTCCAACCTTTTTTTTTTTTTTTAAAAAAAACGAATTATTAGATAATGAGGATTGGCTAAAACATTTGACCCTTAGTTCAATCCCTCTTCATTTTGAGACAGCCTTTATCATTGGAATAGTTTCATTTAGCTGTAATGTATTTTCTGGAAGATACTGTATTTATGCTGTATGTATTGATTGTCAATTTAAACATCAGTGAAGTCTTACAAATACACATAGTTATTGCTTTATACCTGCTAATATTTGTGCAAAGAGAAATGAAGCAAAATGAAAACAGTACCTCCAAAATGACAAACCTGGTTTAATTTCATTGTGTTCTGACAGTACTTTATTAGGGGTGGAACAATCCTACTAAAATCTGGACTTTTGTCACTCTGCTAAAGGGTGGTATTCAGCAAGTGTCGGCGAAAAAATGGTTCTGTCTGAATGCTGCTCTTCCCTTCAGCAAAGTCCATGTGATCAATTACAAGGGGTTGATTACAAGACTGACACTGGACGGCTAAATAATTGCAATAGTTTTCCTGGAAGAATAATATTTTATGTACTACTAAACAAGGGTCAAGAATAGAGTAAGGAAGATTTTACATGTGTGTGAGTATTATGAACTCATGCACCAACAGACATTAGAAGATATTAGAACCAATCTGGTTTACAATGGGATCATGGAGTATGTAACTGTATGTAAGCCTTTTCCAATGACCCTTGGCCAAGTGATTCAGGCAATATGAATCTTTTTTGCCAGTTGGTATTGTTTTTCCCTTACACAAGCTATCACTGGTCACTGCTCACTGCTCACTCTTCTATTCTACTTGCAAGTTTGCACATACATGGTCTGTGGTCATCTAGCATATGTAGGCATATTTAGTTAAAAATGGGTTTGACTTGACCCATCTGCCTATATAGTGGCTTGGACAACCCACCCACTACTCTACGCTCATAAAGGGTCTTACACTACATCCTCCTATGGGACAGGAAAACTGAATGATATAAATGTTTGTTCATTTCATCTTAAATTTTAGCTCATTCTATCAGATATTTAGCCCATGTATGGGTGTGACTGTTATAATACTGAAAAAAAAAAAAAAATCAATAAAACATGGGACTGACTGAAATGGCACTACTAATATTTTGCATGGCATCTGAGTTTGTTATATAATTTTCTAGTCTATGTAATAAATTCTTAGGGACATGTAAGTGGTGCCCTGTCATACAAAACACTGCCCCGCTTACAAATCCAATACCATATCTCATTGAGCTTTTGTCTCCACTTACCTGTTTAAAACATAACATTGGGAGAATAGGAGTAAAAATAAATTCTACTGTTAATTGTGAATGTGAACCTTATTATGCTATTTTTTTTTCAAATGAGGGTCAGTGAATATTCACATGATGCTAGCACATCTACTATAATGGTACAGTATCCACCCTCCCATCCTTTTTTTTTCTTTGAGCACATAGCTGAAATGTAAAGAATGTGTTAATCTATGCAATTTTGGGACATTTGGCAGCAGTGTTACATTGTTGGATCTCAGGACCACCATGTGATATTTTCATTGTCCAGTTTTCTGTGGATGTTGGACATTGTGAAGATTTATATGTTCTGTTCAGCTGTGCCTAGATCAATAATCTAAAGGTCATATAAATAAAATTATGAATTGAACACTACTTCTTACTGCAGGAGCATAACAAACCCATTAGTACAATCTCCCTATAATAATACTCTTTTTTTTGTCACACAAAGTACTGTTAACACAGATAGTTTGCATCTCTTCTCATATGGTTGCTGTTTTTTTATTACAGTACTTTTCAAGTATTGCTATCAATACAGAAGGCTTATCCCAAAACTATATGGTTGTCATGTGTTTTTAAAGGATTAAATTTAAATGTTGCTAAACATCCTGAATGATTTGAGGAATTGAGGAGAGATCATATGGACCTTTGCATGATCTGCTTTATTTCAGATATAGCAACAAGCATCAATGTGTCAAAAATGCGTGAACTCAGCAGTGGGACAGGTCCTTCGGGAAAATAACTGGCATCTTGAGTAGGATGTGATTTTAAAATACTGGTGTAAACACAGGCCAATGTTGCTTATAAACTTTCCACGGTGGTTAAGCTGGCCATAGATGGATCGAATCTCAGACGATTCAGCAGGCAGTGGCTGAGGTTCGATCCATCTATGGGTAAGCTAGTTGTACCCAAGTTGCTCCATTGATTGACTTTGGTACATCCTGCCTTTTTTTTTTGTTTGTTTACATGCGATTAATGCTTGCAGCAGCAAACGTATACCACAAACCCGCAATAGTGTAAACCAGGCCTTACAGCTTGTTGACAGGAGGAGAGATGCGCAGATGAGCAGAGTGATTACAATCAGCTGGCTGGGGGTATGCTGGTGACCACACTCTATTGTTCAACTGCTCTAGAGAAAATCAAAGGCACCACCCTGGTTATGTTGTCCAGCATGGATTCCTGAATAACAATAGCAGCTCAACATAATTGCAAATGTCTTGGCAAATATTTAGCCGTTTGCCTGGAGTTCAACTCTAAAAAGTGGAAGTGGCCACTGAAGGTGCCAGAAGTGCCCCATGTGGTACATATGCAGACAGTACAAAGGAACAGATCTTGAAGCTCCACAATAAACTTAACACAAATATTTAAGTGGATGTTCGCAATTATATGGTATTTAATACCTATGGAACATTAACCCTACAAAACACTACAGGAAAATAAGAACAAAAAATGTAAAACACTCACCCAGGAAAGTAGACACAGCCTCTACACCTCCATTATATATGGTGGAGTTCTGAGAAGGTTCTATGTGTTCCCACAAAACCTGAACATAATTTATAACTTGGTTGTATCCAGCTGTTGCAAGCGCCCACCACAAAGACCAATAAATAAGCTGAGATGAAGAGTAGCAATCTTTTAAGTCTTTACATAGTAACCACAACACCTTGAAAAAGTTTGTTTCCATATCCCTGTTGTCTGTTTCTGGCTCTGTCATAGTTCCGTTGTTTTGTGGTTCTGTACATTGTGATGTTTCCATATTATCTGTGGTGGAATTTGAATCTTTAGATTTCTTCCCAGCTGCATCTCCTGCTTCTTTCCGATGGAAAAACATGCTTCTTTTTGGCATTGGGAGCACCAAAGAGCACAGGAAAGCAACTGACACTGACACCAAGGTAATAACATTAAGGTAAAAATAGGAAATTCCAGCCAAGGAGACTAAAAGTTGGCCCAACACAGAGGCAACTGTGAAACCCACAAGGGTTATACTCCGACAGTAGCTGGTGACCTTCTGGTAATGTTCGATGTCCACCACACTGTAGATGTAGGAATAATAGGCCACTTCTGTGGCAGTCACCATTCCATAGCAAAACTCAAGGCCTTGCATTGCTGGCACTCCACGGGCAAAGAGTAGCAAGACCCAACAGATGATGTAACTCAGGCCTTGTAGGATAATGACAGGTTTGTATCTTATGTAGTCTGTAAGTACAAAAACTGGGAATAATATTACCAAGTAACTGTATGTCCATACTGGGAACACAGAGTTTGTCACCTGTGGGAGGAGCACACAGACAAGAAAGTTATCATTCTAAACAGTGGATGGCATGAAAGATATAATGGAGGTCAGGCTATGAGCATTAAAAAAATGCTATGTTCTGAATCTTACCAAACAGTAACAAGCAGGCACTGTAGAGTAATACATCCTCAAAGTTTACAGCAGAAACACTTTTCACTTTCATTGTATCAGCTCAGTCTGTGAGGCATTGTTTTAAAGTTAGTTTGCTACTTCTTAGGAATATGTAAATTATTATTTCAGGTATTTATGTGAATATCCACACTCTGACTAAAGATCTACTTTAATAAAGAAATACAACATACAAAAAGTAACATTTTCACTATGTTAAAAAAAAACAGATGCCCTGGCTACACAGTTTTCCTTTCTGTTGATAAGTGTCGTGTGTTTCCACCCACCTTGTCTACTAGAAACTGAAATGCCAGTTTTATATTACTTAAAGTGATAATAAAGGCTCACATTTTTTATGTAAACAATACAGTTATCTCCCCTGTCAGTTCCTGCACACTGCTTTGCATGGCTCTGCATAGCACAGCCATGCAAAGCAGTGTGGTTACAGTTGAAATCACACACACAGCCCACAACACAACACAACACACAATTAACCCTTTGATCGCCCCACAGTTAAAAACAACACACAGTTAACCCTTTGATCGTCCCAGATATCAACCCCTTCCTGCCCAGTGTCATTAGTACAGTGTCAGTGCTTTTTATTAGCACTGATCACTGTATTGGTGTCACTGGGGATGTCAGTGACACCAAGTCAGTTCCCTCCAGTGTCAGAATGCCCACCGCAGTCCCGCTATAAGTCACTGATCACCACCATTATTAGTAAAAATAAAAAATAAAAAATCCCAGTATATATACCGACATTTGTGAACGCTATAACTTTCATGTAAACCAATTAATTTATACGTATTGGGATTTTATTTGTAGCAAAGACGTGTAGCGGAAAACATTTTGGCTTAAATTTATGACGAAGTTTGATTTTTTACATTTTTTTACTGGCCATATTTAACCGCCTCCGGCCTGCCATTTAAGGAAATGATGGGCGCAAGACGGCTCTCTCGTTCTGGGAGGACATCATATGACATCCTCCCACTCTAACCACGCGTGAGCTCCGGGAACAAGCAGCTTGACGATTGGTGGTGCGCTGTGTCCCTCGGACACGGGATCACCGATCAAACGGAAAGAGCCGAAGATGTCGGCTCTGTCATGTGATCAGCTGTGTCCAATCACAGCTTATCGCATGTAAATAAGGAAATGCCAGTTATCAGCATTTTTCTCCTCAAGGGCTGTCACGCTGACAGCTTGTGAAGAGAGGAGAGCCAGTAATTGGCTTTCCTCAGAGGGGACATGTACACTGATCATCAGGGTACTGATGATCAGTGTGCCCCATCAGTGCCACCTGTCAGTGTCCATCAATGCCAACTGTCAGTGCTCATCAATGCCACCTGCCAGTGCCCATCAGTGCCACATATCAGTGCCTACCAGTGCACATCAATGCCACATATCAGTGTCCATCTAAGCTGCCTTTCAGTGCCACCTCTCAATGCTAGTCAGTGCCACTTATCAGTGCCAGTCAATGCCTCCTATCAGTGCCCATCAGTGCCGCCTATCAGTGCGCATCAGTGCCACCTGTCAGTGTCGCCTAACAGTGCCAGTGGGTGCCACATATCAGTGCCAGTCAGTGCCGCCTATCAGTGCGCATTAGTGTCACCTATCAGTGCCCGTCAGTGCTGCCTATCAGTGCCAGTCAGTGCCAACTAACAGTGCCAGTCAGTGCCGCCTATCAGTGCCATATATGAGTGCTACCTTTTAGTGCCCATCAGTGATGCCTGTCAATACCCATCAGTGCCACCTACCAGTGCCTCCTCATCAGTGCCCATTAGTGCTGCCTATCACTGCCCATCAGTGCCACATCAATGCCACATATCCAGGGGCGGACTGACAACTCGAGGGGCTCCCGGGCAATTGGGGATCATGGGGCCCCTGTGTCCTTGCCCACACTCAAAACACACCCAAAAAAGACTATAAAAGGTACCAGGGGCATTTTATGGGGCCCCCTACTGTCCCTGGGCCCTCGGGCGATGCCCGAGTGCTCGAATGGTCAGTCCGCCCCTGCACATATCAGTGCCTACCAGTGCACATCAATGCCACATATCAGTGTCCATTTAAGCTGCCTTTCAGTGCCACCTCTCAATGCTAGTCAGTGCCACCTATCAGTGCCAGTCAGTGCCTCCTATCAGTGCCCATCTGTGCCGCCTATCAGTGCTGCCTATCAGTGCGCATCAGTGCCGCCTGTCAGTGTCGCCTAACAGTGCCAGTTAGTGCCACCTATCAGTGCCAGTCAGTGCCGCCTATCAGTGCCCATCAGTGCTGCCTATCAGTGCCAGTCAGTGCCACCTAACAGTGACAGTCAGTGCCACCTATCAGTGCCATATATGAGTGCTACCTTTCAGTGCCCATCAGTGATGCCTGTCAATACCCATCAGTGCCACCTACCAGTGCCTCCTCATCAGTGCCCATTAGTGCTGCCTATCACTGCCCTTCAGTGCCACATCAATGCCACATATCCAGGGGCGGACTGACAACTCGAGGGGCTCCCGGGCAATTGGGGATCATGGGGCCCCTGTGTCCTTGCCCACACTCAAAACACACCCAAAAAAGCCTATAAAAGGTACCAGGGGCATTTTATGGGGCCCCTTACTGTCCCTGGGCCCTCGGGCGATGCCAGAGTGCTCGAATGGTCAGTCCGCCCCTGCACATATCAGTGCCTACCAGTGCACATCAATGCCACATATCAGTGTCCATTTAAGCTGCCTTTCAGTGCCACCTCTCAATGCTAGTCAGTGCCACCTATCAGTGCCAGTCAGTGCCTCCTATCAGTGCCCACCAGTGCCGCCTATCAGTGCTGCCTATCAGTGCGCATCAGTGCCGCCTGTCAGTGTCGCCTAACAGTGCCAGTTGGTGCCGCCTATCAGTGCCAGTCAGTGCCGCCTATCAGTGCCAGTCAGTGCCACCTAACAGTGACAGTCAGTGCCACCTATCAGTGCCATATATGAGTGCTACCTTTCAGTGCCCATCAGTGATGCCTGTCAATACCCATCAGTGCCACCTACCAGTGCCTCCTCATAAGTGCCCATTAGTGCTGCCTATCACTGCCCATCAGTGAGCCTATCAGTGCCCATCACTGCAGCTTCATTAGCGTACATCAGCGAAGGAGAAAAATCACTTATTTACAAAATTTTATAACAGAAACTAAGGAAAAACTTTTTTTTCAACATTTTCAGTTGTTTTTGGTTTGTTTAGGAAAAAATAAAAAACTCAGACGTGATTAAATACCAACAAAAGAAAGCTCTATCTGTCTCAAAAAAATGATAAAAATTTCATATGGGTACAGTGTTGCATGATTGTGCAATTCTCATTCAAAGTGTGACAGCACTGAAAGCTGAAAATTGGCCTGGGTAGGAAGGGGGTATAAGTGCTCAGTAGGCAAGTGGTTAATAGCAAAAATTCAAAAATTTTGTTTTCTTCTCAAAATTGTCGGTCTTTTTTTTTTATAGCACAAAAAATAAAAAACACACAGGCAATCAAATACCACTGAAAGAAAGCTCTATGCACACTACCAATCTCATAGTCCATCTCAGGATCAAGAAAGAGGCTATGTTCTTACATACAGTGGGATCATGAAGAATGAACAAAGCCACCATCTAACAGAAAGTTGGATCACAGCAGTAAAAAAGGAAGTTAGAGATTTGGAGGAGACTGAGAACAAAAGAATGTACTTTTTGTGTTATGAATACATGCTTGAAAGGATTGTTTTCTAATCAGAGTTTAGTGTCACTTTAAGCTTTGCAGTTAACAGTTGGGTGTGAAGGCACTTGGATGTGGTCTGTTCTAGATAGAGAAAAGTATAAATGTGGATGTATACTTCAGCGGTGATGTAGAAGATAATATATGGATAATCTGAGGCTTGGAAAGGTTCTTTATCAGCTAATTGTATTCATTCTAGAATTGAATGCTGTTGGCAATTTTACTTATTTAATAGAGCAGGAACATATCTCACAATGATTTAGGGTCAATTCAGACCACTGCGTTGTGATAACAAACGTTACTTGTGTTGGTGAACTTTGATGTCATTTATTGCGTGTTATGTTATCCCGCACCAGCAAAATGCAGCATCTCTAATTTTTGGTTTGCTGTGCGTAAGTAATGGGCTGCCTTAATGCAACGTTCCTCATCACAAATATATTAAACCCACCGTAGCAGACCTG